CTCGGGCACAGCCCCCTGCTGCCTCTGTCCCCCCCACCCTGCACCGCAGACCTGTGCTGCCCTGTGCCACCGGGACAAAAGGGACAGGGCACAGCCAGGGCTGCCCTGGGACAGGGACAGCAGGCTGCGGGTTTGTGTCCTTTGCTGCCAACAAGGCTAAAAACACAAGAAAGACATGGACCTGTTAGAGCAAGTGCAATGGAGGGATACAAAGATGAGGCTGGAGCACCTCTCCTATGAAGAAAGGCTGAGAGAGCTGGGGATGTTCAGCCTGGAGAAGAGAAGGCTCCACAGAGACTTTGTTGCAGCCTTTCAATACTTAAAGGGGTCTTATAAAAAGGATGGAGAAGGACTCTTTACTCGGGTAGACAATGATAGGACAAGGGGCTATGGTCTAAAACTAAAAGAGAATAGATTTAAACTAGATATTAGGAGGTAATTCTTCACTGGTAGGGTAGATTCTTCATTTCAGAGCTCTGGAACAGGTTGCCCACGGGTGTGGGGCAGCGAGAGTGGGGGTGCAAAGGGGTGCTGCACCCCGGCTCGTTGGTCTAGGGGTATGATTCTCGCTTTGGGTGCGAGAGGTCCCGGGTTCAACTCCCGGACGAGCCCCATCTTTTCTGGATCCCTGGCCCAGAGAGCATGGGGGGACGAACTGGGATTGCACTGGGGAGCAGGGCCAGGGCAGTGTCCGCTGTGAGGGGAGAGCGTTTGGTTTTGGGGTGGGTGCGTGTCCAGGGGGAGGAGGGCTGTTGAGGGCATGTTGAGTAGGCAGGGGTGAGTGTGTGGTGCTGCAGGTGTGATTTGTGAGGCAGGTGTGTTGTGGAAGAGCAGGGGAGGTGTGCTGATGTGTTGGGGAGTGGTGTGGGCTGAGGAGGAGGCAGGAGGAAGGCTTTGTTAAAAGCAGAACCCCCAGAAAGGCCCCCATGAGTGTGGGGATGTAGCTCAGCGGTAGAGCGCTTGCTTTGCATGCAAGAGGCCCTGGGTTCAAGCCCCAGCATCTCCAGCCTTTTCCTCCCCAGGCAGGACAGGGCAGCCCTTGGGGGCTGCAGGGCCTGGGGCTGTCACAGGGCACCAAGCACGGGTGGCCCTGTGCGTGGCAGCAGCAGTGGGGCAAATGGTGGAGCTGGAGCTGCCCCAGCAGGAGTGAGAGCTGTGGGGCACGAGGGCAGAGGGTGCAGAGGGCCCCATGAGCGCGGCTCGTTGGTCTAGGGGTATGATTCTCGCTTCGGGTGCGAGAGGTCCCGGGTTCAACTCCCGGACGAGCCCCCCTTTTGGGACGAGCCCAGCTGCTGCGGGCAGGGGGCAGACGCAGGGGGGCTGGCTCTGGGCCCTTGTCCCCCCAGGCAGTGCTGCAGGAGCAGGGGGGCCCTGGCATCCCCCAGTAGCCTGCAAGCGGCACCCCATGCTGGGGCTGGAGGCTTTGTGGGGCAGCACAGCCGCCTGTGGCCAGGCTCAGCCGCTGCCAGTGCAGCAGGTAGGACCCTGGTGGGCACTGTCTAGGGGATGTAGCTCAGTGGGAGAGCGCTTGCTTCGCATGTAAGAGGCCCTGGGTTCAAGCCCCAGCATCTCCAGCCTTTTCCTGCCTCACAGCCTGCAGCCTGCTGTCCTTGTCCCAGTACAGCCCTGGCTGTGCCCTGTCCCTTTAGTCCCGGTGGCACAGGGCAGCACAGGTCTGCGGTGCAGGGTAGGGGGGACAGAGGCAGCAGGGGGCTGTGCCCGAGGTGTCGGGGCTGTGGGGCGTCAGGACTGTGTCTGTGCTGTGCCGTGTCCCACCAGGATCTGTTTGCAGGCCAGTGGTGCCCAAAAGGTGAGCTTCATTCAGGAGCTGCTGTACCCGGGACCACTCGCACCCTAAGCAAGAATCATACCCCTGTGTGCTGGTGCCTTTTGTCCCCATCAGAGCCTAGCACACGGGGGCCCTTTTTGGCATGCCTGGGCCGTGTGGCCAATGCAGGGAAGTGGGCACAGCTGCCAAGTGCCCCCTGTGCAGCATCCATGGGGGCAGCTGGTCTGTGGATACCAGCAGAGACCCCCAGACAGAGGCTCCTGTGCAGGGGATGTAGCTCAGCGGGAGAGCGCCTGCTTTGCATGCAGGAGGCCCTGGGTTCAACCCCCAGCATCTCCATGCTTTTTTTGTGGCCAAGCCACAGCCCAGATACATCGCTGAAGGGGGAAGGTGGGTGCTGGCAGGAGGCAGCGAGGTGCGGCAGGCAGCTGTGGGACATCAAGGTCCCCTTTTATGCCACAGACGAGGGCTGTTTGCAGGCCAACGATGCCCAAAAGAGGGGCTGGTCCAGAGCTGAATCCCGGTTCTGCTACATCCTAAGCAAGAACCATACCCCGAGACCAAGGAGCCTGGGTGTGCAGCTGGCCCCTAGCAAAACACCTGCCCCGTCTCAGCCCCATACAGCGTACAGGGAAGGGGCTGCCCTGGGCAGCCAAGAGCCCTGTGTGGGCTCGGCAGTGCCCCCGGCAGCCCCAGGGCAGGGCTAAAAGCTGTCGCTGTGAGCAGGATTCGAACCTGCGCAGGGAAACCCTATTGGATTTCGAGTCCAACGCCTTCACCCCTCGGCCATCACAGCCCCCGGCTGGGGCTGCCTGTGCCCCGTGGTCTGTGAGGGGCATCCCCAGGCAGCCCCTGGTGCCCCCCCGGCCCCCATTCCTGCTGGGGAGGCTGGGGCAGTGCCAGCGCCAGCCCTGGGCCCGCTCTGCACCTGGGTGCTGGTGGCAGGGCCTGAGGCCAGCAGGGGCCAGTGGCGGCGCTGCCCCAGCACTGCCAGGGTGGCCCAGGGAGGGTGCACAGGGAGCTGCCCAGCGCGGCTCGTTGGTCTAGGGGTATGATTCTCGCTTAGGGTGCGAGAGGTCCCGGGTTCAACTCCCGGACGAGCCCCTCTTTTGGGCACCGCTGGCCTGCAGACACGTCCTGGAGGGACACAGGAAAGCCCTGCTGCCCCACAGCCCTGACACCTCGGGCACAGCCCCCTGCTGCCTCCCTCCCCACCCTGCACTGCAGACCTGTGCTGCCCTGTGCCACAGGGACAAAAGGGACAGGGCACAGCCAGGGCTGTACAGCCAGGGACAGCAGAGCGGGGACCCGTGGGGCAGAGGCAGGAGCTGGGCAAGGCGAGCGCTGCAGCCATCGGGGAGCCAGGAGTAGAAACAGCGTGTAGGGGGAGAGGGGCTCTGGGGACACCTGCAGAGGGCAGAAGGAAGAGGAGCTCCTGGAGGGCATCATGCACTGCCCAGGCATTTCCCCTGGTATGGGCTGTGAGGCAGGAAAAGGCTGGAGATGCTGGGGCTTGAACCCAGGGCCTCTTACATGCGAAGCAAGCGCTCTCCCACTGAGCTACATCCCCTGCCCAGTGCCCACCAGGGGGCCCAGGCCCTGGCAGCAGCAGCTGGGTACTGCCTGGCAGCGGCTGAGCCTGGCCAAAGGCGGCCGTGCTGCCCCACAAAGCCTCCGGCCCCAGCATGGGGTGCCGCTTGCAGGCTGCTGGGGGATGCCAGGCCCCCACCCGCTCCTGCAGCACTGCCTGGGGGGACAAGGGCCCAGAGCCAGCCCCCCTGCGTCTGCCCCCTGCCCGCAGCAGCTGGGCTCGTCCCAAAAGGGGGGCTCGTCCGGGAGTTGAACCCGGGACCTCTCGCACCCGAAGCGAGAATCATACCCCTAGACCAACGAGCCGCGCTCATGGGGCCCTCTGCACCCTCTGCCCTCGTGCCCCACAGCTCTCACGCCTGCTGGGGCAGCTCCAGCTCCACCATTTGCCCCACGTGCTTGGTGCCCCGTGACAGCCCCAGGCCCTGCAGCCCCCAACGGCTGCCCTGCCGTGCAGTGCGTGGGGAGGAAAAGGCTGGAGATGCTGGGGCTTGAACCCAGGGCCTCCTGCATGCAAAGCAAGCGCTCTACCGCTGAGCTACATCCCCACACTCATGGGGGCCTTTCTGAGGGGCTCTGCTTTTAACAAAACCTTCCTCCTGCCTTCTCCTCCTCAGCCCACACCACTCACCAACACATCAGCACACCTCCCCTGCTCTTCCACAACACACCTGCCTCACAAATCACACCTGCAGCACCACACACTCACCCCTGCCTACTCAACATGCCCTCAACAGCCCTCCTCCCCCTGGACACGCACCCACCCCAAAACCAAACGCTCTCCCCTCACAGCAGACACTGCCCTGGCCCTGCTCCCCAGTGCAATCCAAGGTTGTCCCCCGCACTCTCTGGGCCAGGGATCCAGAAAAGATGGGGCTCGTCCGGGAGTTGAACCCGGGACCTCTCGCACCCAAAGCGAGAATCATACCCCTAGACCAACGAGCCGGGGTGCAGCACCCCTTTGCACCCCCACTCTCGCTGTCCCACACCTCCTCGGCACTTCTGGGAGATCCCAGCAGGGACACCTGCACTAGGTTGCCCAGAACCACGTCCCAGCGCCTTTTGAGGATTTGCAAAGAGGGAGGTTTCACCACCCTTGAAGGCATCTGTCCCAGTGCTCCATCACCCGCACAGCAGAGATGTTCTTTCTAATACACAGTGGGCTGAAGGTGGCTGTGGCACAGATGAGGGTTGAGGGGTGAAGGAGTGGGCTCGAAATCCTATAGGGTGTGCAGGTGTGAATCCTGCTCCCAGTGACTGATACTACCATCAGCTTGTGGGTGGGGGTTCACACTGGTTTCACCATGGGAGCAGCAGCCCCCCACCAGTGCTGGGTACTGTTTGTCCCGTTTGTGCCTTTGTGCTCCTGTCCTCCGTGTCCCCATCCCTTCTGGTCTCAGCCCTGCAGGTGCTACTGGCCTGCTGCTGATCTGCCTGTACGAGGGGCAGTCCTGTGGAGCAGCCTTTGCGGATAGGTGGAGCGGGGAACTTTTGCTTTTCTTCACGTTGTGCCACCTTGTCCTAGTCATTAGTGGGCACTGACGGGTCATTTCTGTTGGAGCTTGCTGAGGACGTGCTGCTCAAGCCCCGCAAGGGCACTTCAGTCCTAGCCCCCCCGTGCTGCTGATCCAATACCCTTTCTGTCTGCTGGCTGCAGATCAATGCAGTTAATGAGAAACCCTGGTGCTGGGCAAGAGGCAACTGGCTGGGTGCTGGGAACGCTGCTGCTTCCCAGCAGGACTGGAACAGCCAGAAAAACCCACGCAGCTTGAGGAGCCGAGTCTGGGGCCACAGGGTTCGGGCAGAGCCGAGGACCATGGCCAAGATGGTGGAGTGTGTCCCCAACTTCTCGGAGGGGTGCAATAAGGAGGTGAGGGTCGAGGGGTGGGGAGTGGCGGGTGGTGGGCAGCTGGGCTCCCATATGTACTGCAATGGGTTTTGCCCCGTGATTTGCAGCCTGGCTTATAGTTTTCCAGTACTCCTGTACTTCTCTGGTACTTTTCCATTATTTCTGGGCCAAATGAAATCAAACACGCCAGCCAGGTCAATGTTGCCTGTGCTGGGCACCCGCTTCAGGCTGCACTTTGCCCCTGACAGCGGTGTAGGTCAGCAGACCTAAAATTGCTGAAAAACTGCTGCTTCCCCTGGGGAACGGGCTTTGTGGAGCTAAATCTGTTTTGAAGCTTGCAGGGGACAGTGTCCTCAGGGACAGCAACTTGCGATGGAGCTCTGTCACACAGCAGCTCTCCCAGGGCTTGGGGCTACCTGGGGGCTGTCTCAGAGTCCCAGATCCCCTGGCTGGGATCTGGATTCTCATACCCCTAGGTCCTGCATCCTCACCTCCTTCCTGATGAGCCTGGTGATAGGTTCATCCCCTGCACTAGTGGGAGCAGGGTGGAGACGCCTGAGAAATGGCATCCTCACCTTGCACAGCTGCTGGGGCTGCAGTGGGAGCCTCACCAGCCCATCCAGCTTGCCCCTTCTGGCAGGTGATTGAGGCACTGGGGCAGGCCATCTCCCGGACACCTGGCTGCGTGCTGCTGGATGTGGACGCTGGTGCCTCCACCAACCGTACCGTCTACACCTTCGTGGGGACCCCTGAAGCTGTCGTCGAAGGGGCGCTGAGCGCAGCCCGTGTGGCCGGGCAACTCATCGACATGAGCCAGCACACGGGTGAGCAACCCTCTGCTCCCAGCCTGGGCAGAGCCCCTGCCTCGGCTGGAAGGAAGAGCAGGCACCGAAGTGCTGCCAGAGGGCAGGCACAGAGTGTTTCCAGCACTGTAGGAGGGATGCTGGTGAGACCACACCGAGCTCTTGCTCATCCTCCCGATCCAGAGGGGCTGCATCTGTCCTGTCCCGAAGCTGGAGCAGGCATTGCTGCTGCAAACTCCACTTTCCTTGCCGTGACAGTGCTCAGTCTGCAAAAGCAGCAGGGAAAGGGCCCTCGTCCCTCTTTGTCTGCTTGCCCTTCTGGGCCCCCGCCCTGATTTCTGACCCGGCCCTAGGTGAACATCCTCGCATGGGGGCCCTGGACGTCTGCCCCTTTGTGCCAGTGATGAACGTCAGCATGGAGGAGTGCGTTGCTTGTGCTCATGTCTTCGGGCAGCGCTTGTCGGAAGAGCTGGGGGTGCCTGGTGAGTGAGAGCTGGGCCGCTCAGATGGGCCCCTGTCCCCCTGCATACCCCCAGCGCTTCTTTTACACAAGTTTCACCAAGGGCAGAAGGGGGCACTCCCCCCAGTAGGCAAAGGCAGACCCTGGTAGACAACTTGTTCACCACCACCCTGCCTTGCAGTGTACCTGTACGGAGAGGCGGCCCGAGAGGAGAGCAGGAGAACCCTACCTGCCATCCGTGCCGGGGAGTACGAGGCACTCCCCGAGAAGGTGAGCCTGGCTTTGTGGGATGGGAGATGGGAGCCTTGCTCCAGCCAAACCTTGGTGCCAGGGGGAGTGAGCCTCCTTTCTTGGGTGATTGCTTGAGAGGATCCACCTCCAGGAGGGCAGCTCATGCTGCCCACCACCACCCACATGCTCTCCTCCCTCCCCAGCTCAAGAAACCCGAGTGGGCTCCCGATTTCGGGCCCCCAACCTTTGTCCCCCGCTGGGGGGCCACAGTGACAGGGGCCCGGACCTTCCTCATCGCGTACAACATCAACCTGCTGTGCACCAAGGAGCTGGCGCACCGCATTGCCCTCAACATCCGCGAGCAGGGCCGCGGCTCCAGCCAGGTACCCTCGTGCTGCCCGCTGACCCCGCTTCTCCTGGGCTGGGCTGCCACCTTGACCACAGGGGTTCTCCGCAGCCTGGACGCTTGAAGAAGGTTCAGGGCATCGGCTGGTATTTGGAGGAGGAGAACATAGCCCAGGTTTCCACCAACCTGCTGGACTTTGAGGCTACGCCACTCCACGCCGTCTACGAGGAGGTCTGCCGTGACGCAGAGGTGGGTAGTGCACGGTGCTCTCCCTCCAAGTGCTCAGCCCACAGCTGGGCTCTGCTTTCTCTTATACTCTGCTCATCCAAGCTGGGCAGAGACCTGAACCACATGTAAACTCCAAAAGCTCAGCAACTTGTTGCTAACCTCAGCTTCTGGCTTATCTCCACACGGCAGGAGCCACATTGGAGGCTCTCCATGAGCCCCCCAGGTCCTGGGAAGGGATAGGAGCCACCAGGCTGGGGTAGAGGCAGGAAAGGCAGCTCTGGGGCCTTTTTCTCCTGTTTCTGATGTCCTTTGCAGGCGTTGAATCTCCCTGTGGTGGGGTCCCAGCTGGTAGGGCTTGTCCCAAAGAAGGCCATGCTCGACACAGCAGAGTTTTACATCAAGAAGGAAAAACTCTTCATCCTGGAGGAGGAACACAAGATCAAGCTGGTAAAGTGGGTCTTCCCAACACTGAGACAAGGACAGGGTCATGAGTAAGACCCCCCAGATCCCAAAAATGCCGCTGAGCAGGGACTTGGGGCCAGAACAAGCCACAGGCATGTTGGGTGACCTGTAACACCTGGCTTGAGGGATGGTGCCTAGAAATCTGTGAGGGAATAGTGACTGGGACAAACTGGCTTACAGTCCTGAGGATGCTGAGGGGAACAGAGACCCCATCTGAGGAGGACAAATTACAGGCAGCAGCTGCCCAGCCTGCCAGCACAGAGGCTGTGAGGGAAAGGACACCTCCCCACAGCTCAAGGGCACTGTCCCAGCACCGGTATAAGCTGGAAACAAGGAGGCAGGCTCTGCTTTTCAGCTCCAGCAGGGAAGGGAGTGGGGAGGGATTTTACCACCCTATCAGGAATGTGCTAGATAAGAGTGAGCTAAACATTTATCGGTGCAGTTTCAGGCACCCGTGGGCGGCCGCACACCACCCCTACCTTGGGGGTGGGAGCTGCGGGTGGCACCAGCTTCCCTCGCCTCGGGTGGTCAACCCTGCAGCCCTTTCCCAGGGCCAGACCACTCAAAGTTAATTAAAATCAGGGCGTGAGGATGCAAGAGGAGGCAGCGGGAGGTGCTGGCGGGGCGCATGGAGCCGGCTGGGGCTGACACGGTGGTGCTGCTCCTTGCAGGTGGTCAGCCGGCTGGGCCTGGACTCCCTGTCTCCGTTCAACCCCCGGGAGCGCATCATCGAGTAGGGGCCCTTCCTGCTGCTCCTCACTGTCCCCATCTCTGCCCAGCCCGGGGGATCCTGCTGCAAGCCTCTTGTGCTGAGATTGATTTGGGAAAGTGAAATCCACCTGGAAGTCAGGGCGTGCGCTTATAAGTCCTTGTCCCCTTGCCCTGGGATATGGCTTCAGAGCCCAAGCCAGCATCTGGGTGCATTTCTGTCCCATCAAATGCTGCTTGCAGTGAGATGCTCCTCTCATGCAGAGCAACCCCTGGCATCACCAGGAGGCTACCTGGCTCCTTCTCCTGCTGATTTTTCGGACTCCCAGCAGAGTGCTGTCACCCCTTTCCAATCACCTGTGGGCCAAGGGGGAGATGAAAGCCCAGCGGAGAGGGATGAGGAGGGGTTGGGTGGTGGTGGCTGCCAGCACAGGGGTGGTCTGACCCACGGTGTGCCACAGGTACCTGGTGCAGGCAGGAGAGGAGGACAAGGGGCTGGTGGCAAAGCCGCTGGGAGCCTTCGTGCGAGCAGTCGGCGGGAGGACAGCAGCACCAGGAGGAGGCTCGGTGGCTGCAGCTGCGGCCGCTCTGGTACGTGGCCTGACCACAGGGGGGTCCCTCCCCAAGGGGGTCCCTCCCTGCCCTCCTGAGCACTTCTCCAGGCACCTGGGGAGCTCCTCGGTGAGGAGAGCTGGTGCAGTGGCTGTGCCCTGCTGGTGAACTCAGCACTGTGCCCTCACAGGGAGCAGCCCTGGGCTGCATGGTGGGGCTGATGAGCTACGGCAAGCGGCAGTTCGAGGAGCTGGATCCCATCATGAGGAAGCTGATCCCTCCCTTCCACCAGGCCATGGACGAGCTGGTGGCGATGGTGGACGCCGACTCCCAGGCCTTCAGCAGCTACATGGTGAGGTCTCACCAAGAGCAGCCCTGCCGTGGGCAACCAAGTGAGGGAGCCACTGGTTCCGCTGTGGCCCCTGGTGGAAGACACACGGGATCTCAGAGCACCCCAGTCCACCAAACTTTCTTTTCCTTGCCTACAGGAAGCCATGAAGCTGCCAAAAAACACCCCTGAAGAGAGGGAAAGGTGAGCCCTCAGACTGGTGAGGGCTTGCGGTGGTGGTGGGAGCTTGCACACCAGCTTGCACCCCAGCTTTTGCACGAGCAGGCCTAGCCTGGGCTCGTCCCAGTGCTCACCTAGGGCTACCCCCTATCCCAGGCGTGGCGCTGCCATGCAGCAGGGGCTGAAGACAGCTGTGAAAGTGCCCTGCACCCTGGCAGAGAAGGTGAACAGGCTCTGGCCTCCACTGAAGGAGCTGGCACAGCATTGCAACCTGGCCTGCAAATCTGACATCCAGGTACAGCCCCATGCTTAGGACCTTCTGTGGCCGCAGGGTTCACACACCATCCTGGCTGGGGCTTCAGAGCTCACTGCCTGTCCTCATCAGATTTTCCACCACAGTTTGACCCGTGCAGGGAAAAAATCTAGCGAGCATTGCTTCCCAAACTGGCCACTGCTTTTTACCTATTCACTTTCTGGCAGCTTGTGAGCCTCTCAGGAAGGAAAGCTGATCTCCATCAGCCCTTGCCTGAGTTTTCACATCTGTGGCAAGGTCTTGAAGTGTTTCCCACAGCAAAGCCATGTCCTGAACGTGGTGGGAAGTTGCTGCTTCCCATGGCAGGCCAGGGCAGTGGAGATCCAAACTGTAACGCGAGGGTCTGCCCTGCTGCCAGACCATGAAGTGCAGCTGGTCCAGGAGGAGAGCTTTCCAGAAGCCTCTTTTCATAGGTGGGAGCCAAAATGTTGGAAGCTGCTGTGTTTGGAGCCTATTTCAATGTCATGATCAACCTCAAAGACATAACGGATGAGAAGTTCAAGCTTGCGGTAAGCAGGGGCTGGAAGTGTGCACCTGCCCCGGAGCTGGGGATGAGGCTGGACAGAGCGGGAGATGTGCCCCCCGGGACCCCGTGTGGAGGGGCTGTGGGCACAAGGACACCTCAGTGCCAGGATGGGCACTGAGACATGGCAGAGCTTGGAGGGTGGGCAGTGGGGGCCTTGTCTCCTTTTGTCTGGAAATGATCCGTCTTCTCCCTCCCCTGCAGATGTCACAGAAGGTCTCCGGGCTGCTGGAGGAGGCGAAGCAAGGCTTGGCACTCGTGCTGGCGCTGCTGGAGAAGCGGGTGGCCTGAGAGGCGCTGAGGGCTGGGCCGGGAGATGCACCGGGGAGGGGGGGGATACACAAATACAGCTGGGAAACACACTCGTTCCTGCCTGGGCTCCTTCGGCACCCGCCCCAGGGGAGCTGCTCCGCTCAGACTGGTCCCAGTGTTATGTCCCCTGCCTGCGCTGGGCCTTCTTTGACCAAAGCTGGGCCCTGTGGTGCTGCAGGCAGTGGGCCCTCACCTGCCTGCATGTCTCTGTGCCCAGAATCACCCTGAGACACCCTCCTGACACGGGGCTAGGGCAGGGCCAGGCACCAGGGCCGTGTCCCTAGCGGTGCAGCATCCCGGCGGCGCGTGATGAGCCTGGTGCATGGCAGGGAGGGAGCGCTGCCAAGCACAGGGCAGCACTGGGAGGCGGCGAGGATGGCACTGGGTGGCACTGGGGGAGCTCTACCCCCTCTGCACAGCTCCCCGGAGAGGAAGGGCTGGGTCTGGTGGCAGATGTCAGGCTGTCGCAGCACCCTGAGCTCAACCTGTTCACCCCCAGCCCCCTTTTCCCATCAGCAGGGCCCCGAGCCCCCCAGCCCTACAGCAGCCCCAGTGGGGACGTGATCCCCACACTGTCCCCCGGGCACGTTACCCATGCTGGGGGCACTGCGCCAGGGTTCAAGGCAGGGACGCCTGAGTCACCCATCACCTGACGCCAGCACCGTCCCTCCCGTGTTTTCTCCAGCCCTGCAGGACCTTTGTGCTGGGTGGGAGCGGCGCGCTGACGTCTCCCCGTGCCCATGGTGACTGCGGGTTTCACTGCTCTCCGGTGTCACCCCGGCTGGGCAGGGCCCTGTATTTTGTATTTAAGGGGTGCCCACGGGCTAGCTTCACTGCCTCGGGAGAGCCACGTTGAGGAGAGCAGTCGGGGCTGTGATCTTACAGAGGGCTCTGTTCTGCACGGCGGGTGAGCAGAGGCGGTCCCCACTGGTGGGGCTGGGATGCACTGGGGGGCACCAGAGCTGGTGCAGGGCCAGGACACGGTGTCCCCAACCCCTTACGCTCCTGCTGGGTTCATGGGCTTGGCTTGCTCCGGGACACATGGGGGAGTTGTGTTGGGCTGGAGTTGGTGCATTTTTTTCTATTCATGCTGGGGGTGGTGGTGGTGGCAGCCACTCTCAGGATCCCTGGGGAGGACAGGATGCCCCCTGTCCCCTCCAGGGTGGCCCCAGGGGAAGCCCCACACCGTGGCCTGTGTACTGCTGGGGAGTGCTGACTGTGCCTGTCCTTTCCTTTGCAGCTCGGAGCCAGTGAAGGATGTGGAACCCCAACCAAGGTGAGTGGCTGTGGGGCTGGGGCCGGCTGCCCCTGGGTGCTGTACAGTCACCGGGGCTTGGGGAGGGGCTCGGCACAGCCACCACAGGCACCCCAAAGGACTACCTGTGCATCAAAGGGGAGGGGGGCATCGTTTGAGAAGAGGGGGTAGACCAGGTGGGGTCCTTAGGGTGCACAGGTATCCCAGCTCCCTACGTTGCCTCTCCAGGCTCTGCTCACTTACAGTCCCCCTCTTCCTCCTAGGACCGCCACCTCCGCAGGTGCAGATCTGCCCACCTGCCCCTCCGACATACCCGTACCCAGGGTCCTGCAATTCATCTGGGCCCTATCCTGGCTACCCGGCAGTGCCCCCCAGTGCCCCTGGGGCCTGTCAGCCAGGACACCCAGCTGCTTGCCCCTGTGTCCCCCCCCATCTGGCCACCACCCGCCAGGCCACCACCCGCCGGGCCACCACCCACCAGGACACCACCCGCCGGGCCACCACCCACCGGGCCACCACCACCACGAGCATCACCCACCAGGGGTGCCGGGGTGCCCACCAGCCCACCCTGGCTGCCACCAGAAGCACCATAAGAAGCACAAGAAGAAGCACTCCAAGTCCCACAAGCACCACGGTGGCAAGGTAAGGGTGTGGTGGCCGCAGCTGCCCCAAACTCTCTGTCGTGGTCCCCTGCACCCCATGCATGTTTCCCTCTGCCTCGCTGCAGCTGGAATGAGCTCGTGGGCTGCCAAGGGCTTCTTGTTTTGGTTTGGTTTTGTTTTTAATTGGAGACTCCCTTTTGTTTTATAAATAGGCAAGCATGAGTCATTTCAAATGAGTCTTTAGATACCTTATCTGTGAAGGTCCTTGAAGCCACTCAGAGCAGTGGAATGCCACAGTTCAGGGTGCACCATGCAGTGTGTTAAGTCCCACATCTTCCTTCTGCTTACCCAGACCTTGTGAGCCACGTCTGCTCAGTGTCCCACATCAGAGGACCAGTGCAGCTCCCTTTCAAAAATCCTCCCCATCCAGAAGAGGAGAAAAAAAAAAAAAAAAAAAAGATAGAAAAAAAAAATCTTAGGGTAGTCAGTAGCTCTGTGTCTCTGCTGGGTGGAGACGTAAGGTGATTTGCCTGGACATTTGCTTTTGCTGGCAGAGACCACAACCCTTTCGAGGTTTGTTTAATTGGCCTGAACAGCCTTGAGAGATAACAATAAAAAAGCAGCCCTCCCACAACGTGCTCATAATCACATCTGCCAAGCACCGTGGCAGAAATATAACAGTGCCTAGCTCAAAATATGTCATGTGACAGCACTGCAATAAACACCAGCATCATTTTATTAGTAGCCCTTTCATCTCAATGCGAAGGTAGCTTGGCAGAGGTTTGCTGTCTGAGGTCATGATGCTGCAGATCACCACCCTCTGCATGGCCACAGCCCCTGGCATTGCCGCTGGTAATTACCGGCTTGCAGCTCAGCCTGTGTACACACCTGAGGGCACAACTTTTGGTGGTGATTAAACTGCGGGGTGTGCGTTGTGGCTGCTTCCAGCTCAACATCAACCCAGCTGGGCCCTGGGAACAGGCACCCATCTCCTTCCCAGCAGCAGCTGTAGGCAGTGGGCACCCTGCGCTGGGAGGGATTCATGGAGCCAAAGTGTCCCTGGACAAGTCCCCAGGTCTCACGCCTGCAGCCATTAACACGTGTCAGAAGTGGTATGGAAGAGGGTTGTTTCTGTGCTATCCTGAACCGGTTTCATCTGTTTCTTCTCCAGCATTCAAGCAGCTCAAGCAGCTCGAGCAGTTCCGATTCCGACTGAAGAGGACGTGTTCCACCCACACAGTGGTGAAGCCCCGGAGGAGACAGCATATGAAGACAAATGTCCCATGGGAACTACCTGCTTGCTCTTCTGCCCCTTTCTGCTGTCTCTGTGGTCTGCATTTTGCCTGTTGAGTGATTTTCTCGCTTTTAGTTTGTAAATTGTTTGACCTGAAATCACTGTAAGAGGACAAGCAGCAGCTCTGGCCTGTCTTTAGTGCAAAGGGGCTCTCATCCCACACTGAGGGCCATCCCCAAGACTGTGGGTAACAGCACACAAAATTTCACGTGCTGGTCAGCAGTTGGTGGTTGTTTGTCCCTCTGGCATGATGCCAGCTGCATCATGGTCAAGGGCCCCATTCCAAGGCAACACAGGGTAATAAGAAAGAGAGGAAGTGATAGGAACCAGCTCTGGCCAGTTACACTAACCTGTGAGAACATATGAAAATATAGGAACATTTATTCCAGCAGAATAATCTGAGGGAGGACTGCTAAAGTGGGAAGTAATCAATAAGCAAACCTCCCACTCCCACTAATTGGTGAGCTAATGAACTACAGGGGCCACCTGCAGGAAGGCTGAGCCTTGCAGCTGATAAGATTGTGAACCAAGTGGCCCCAGACTGGGAGGGCGCAGAAAACGCAGAGCTCTGCAAGCCCATGGAGGTGTGCAGGGGGCCTGGGGAACAGGAGTATCAAAGAGGAGGGACAGGTAGAAAAGGGTTAAAAAGGGTTGGTTGTGTGTAAAATGCGGCCGGTCAGCATGCTTGTCTGGCTAAGCCCTTTGCCTGATCACCACAGTTTGTCCTTTCTTTTTATATCTTTTGCTCATTAAATCATTTTTCTAACTCTGCCCGTGTGTTTGCACTCTCTGTACTGTGGTTTATGTGAGCTGTGATGATTAAATGCCTGCTGGGGGTGAGACCTGTGTGTGGTGAGTGAATCTCCGTGCCATCTCCCAGAGCCAGGCTGGGAAAGGGCACCCCGTGTGGTGCCATCCCTGGGACAGAGCAGCTGGAGGAGGTGGCTGAGCTCTTGTTGCTCTTCACCTTAATGTGGCTGACCAGCAGCCCTGTGCCAAGGGAACATGAACTGGGGAGGGGTGAAGGCATTGCTGGGAGATGAGGGTCTCGATGGGCACTGTGGATGTCTGGGGTTGGGGCAGAGGAACGGATCTGTGAGGGAACTGGAGGTGCTGGGCAGTGAGGAGGACTGGAGGGGTCCCATCAGCCTCCTGTGGTCCTTCAGGACCTCAGCAGTGCCCTGTGCTGCATGGACCCCTGGCCTTGTGCTCCAGCATTTTCAAGGAAATGAAGAAGACAAACTTATCCTGACTTACCAGCTTAACACCGAGGGCAGCATCAGCTGCTCATTAGGAACAAACAACAAAAAAAGAGAGACGAGATAAACTACAGGATAAAGAGGCTTTTTCAAAATAGGGTGAAAAGAGTTTATTTGTTTATTTTTGCAGGCAGCACAATTCAAGTTCAAATCTGGGTATTGTTCAGGAGATACTGGTGGGAAGAAGGCACCATAGTTACTTTGAGCACTCTGGGATGACACGAAGGCAGCTCCACGTGCTGCACAGTATTCTGTGAGTTGCTGGGAGGCATGCTGCCCCTCTCAGCCAGTATTTTGGGTGCTGTAATAAATGAACAGGTTCTGGTGAAAGCTGGAATGGCTGAAAGAAGTGAAGGAGAATGAAGGTCTTTAAGCTGACCTGTGAAATTTAGGATTGATAGAGCACCAAAAGGAGCACCTGCAGACAGCTGTTGAAGGCAGCAAAACTTCTAAACATCCCATTGCTCCTAGGAAAAAGGAGCAAACAACCAAGGGCCATGCAAAAGAAAAGCAAGTCACTGAGCGCTTCAAGCAGCACAGGATGTGTCAGAAACTTGCCCAGTCCTCTCAGGGGCAGAAATCCCAAGAGGACAAAAAGGATGATATAATTGGGAAAAGGGCTTGCTAAAAAAATGGGTGATGGCACAATTATAAATCTCCTCAAAGGATGCTCAAGGAGATGGGGAGTTTTTGTACACTAGAGATGATCATTTGTCCTACTAAACTGGAAACATTTCTCACTTCTCTGAGAAGCCCTCCAAGGGTAACAGTTCATACACAAGGCATGGCTTGGTGTGTGTAAAGCTTTACAGACATACTTCATATGGCTCTGTATCCTGCTTAGATCTTGGTTTTAATTAGCACCATAAATGTAAGATATGTGACTTTTCATCATGAAAATCAAAAGAGAGGTCTGAATTTTGGCCAGAAAGGAGGACCCAGAGGGCAGCTGCATACACACTGTTCTAGGCCAGCTCAGAGTTGCTAGCAACCATACAGAGAGAAGAAAATAGAACAGGTAATATCTGGGGTGTGTATACTGGTGAGAGGAGGACATGTGCACTCTATTCAATTAACATATCCACCTAATGAACCTGTCAAAGAAGCTGGGTTGGGAGAGGCTGTCATAGTCCTTCTCCCGGAAGATGGCTGCCCGGTCCCCAAGGCCAAGCTTCAGCAGGACATCCATGTCTACATCACTCCCCAGAGCCACTACCGTGGGCATGACGTCTTGCTTCTTCATGGAGTTGACGGCCTCCTCCAGGTTCTTGCTTCCCGTGATGCCATCGGTGATGAAGACAAAGGAGAGCTCAGCGTTGCGCCGGGCAACCCGCTGCCCGTTTCCTGGGCTGAGCACGATGTTGTTGATGGCGTGGATGATGGCTGACCCGATGTTGGAGGATGAGTCCAGATACTTGATCTGTGCCAGCGCATTGGAGATTTCCGTCAGGTTGTAGGTCAGTGGGAAGACCACGTCCTGCTCTCTCTCACTGCCGTACTGCAGCAGTGCGATCCGGGCGTTCATGTTGTCGTTGTTGCTCCTGGCCAGTGTGAGCTGTCGGGCAACCTCCTCCACAAAGTTGTGGGCCCTGTGGAAATTCTGCTCCCCGATTCTTTCAGAGCCATCAAGCAAGAAGACAATGTCAACAGGGCGCTGTGTACACTGGGCCACTGCAAGCTCTGCAGGAGAAAGAAGAAAAACAAAGTTGGGAGCATGAGAAAGCCTACAGAATAAGGTTGGGGCTTGCCTCATGCAGCTTGGGCTCCAGTCGCCTCTGTGCACACTTTTCTAAAGAAGGACAAGCCTCACGATGATGCCAAAGCCCGTCTTTGTGGCTGGTAATGTTGGGCTTTTGCTTCTGATTCCCTCAGTTCCTGGGCATGAGGAATGAATGTTAATTCCAGGACCTAGGATAGTCCTTCAGAAGCATCCAAGCATTAGACAGGTCTGAACATTTTGTGCATTTCAGCTCTAGAATTACAGCCACCTTCTTAGAGCAGTGCCCAGCTTTTATATATAAGGGGTCTATATGAAGATCAACAGCACACAGTGCTTGTCTTACATCTCGGTAATTTCTAGAGAGCGGCTTACTTTCAGAGTTAGTTTTCACACAAAGATTTGTAGGGATAAAGCTGATTTCATACCTTTTGCCCAAATTAGTTTAATCTGTAATTACCAATTCCTGAAGAGTTTATATAAAGGTCTGGTCATATGGTTGGAAAACAGGGCTCTATCCCTGCTGGTGCACCTGCACATTGTAAAGCAGCTTTTGTAATAAATAACAAAGACCAACATTTAAATGAAACACAGTGGGACATTGTCCTTCAGCCACTCAGAACAGCACCTGTCCATAAAGCAAGGCATGTAGGCATATGAATATATGCAGTGAGTGAACTCAGAAAAAAAAAAAAAAAAGTGAAATAAAACTACAATATTTGGAGCCAGGTGCTAGTTATGAACCATTCTTTCATCACTTTGCCGTGGTTGTGTGTAATGCATTTGACATTCATGTGCATGCACTGCTTCTTCAAGAAAGACCTCCACTTTTGCTTTGGTGGATTTTCTTCCATTCTGGTGTAATGATTCTTCGGAGTTCCTTCTCTACTGAAAACCCTAGTCAGGAATACAATTGTAACATCAGTACTGGTTTGTGATGTACGTGCTGTGGCTGTCCACCTCCTGAGGTATTCCTGCATGGTGGCAGCAGGGCAAAAACCATATTGCACTGTAGAGCAATTCTGTGGCACAGACTGAGACTGACTCTCAAAAAGGCACTGGAGCAGATCTCATCTTGTGTTGCATGACTGGCAGGGACAGGGTGATTCTGGAGCAACTCCAGCCTGAATATCCATTTCGGGTATCTAGGGGCAACTTTCACGATAGGAACATCACATTAGGTTGAATTTCTGTACAGTGAACAAATCCAACTTGACAAAGCGCTTCCTCAGTGCTGAGTGCCGTTATACCTGGGGCTGCATTCAGCACGGTGGAATGCTGAACCAAAGCGTTTTGTAACTCCTTGTATGAGGTGAACAACAAACAAATCACTGTTTAGTAAGAAAGTACGATGTGTGTATATATATACATGTGTAGTCAACACTTGGCAAACAGCAAAACTGTACTTGAAGCAAAATAGATACATGTGCTCTTGAGACTAGACACTGTGCAAAGAATTCAGCAACAGAGGACTCTACTCCTAGTGTAGTAGACACTCTGAGTGTGCATATTGTTGAACTCGAAGACTATTTGATACCACTGCTTTCCATAATAAAACATAATAAAACACCTGATACAGGTACTTGTAGTTTAATCAAACTCTCTGGACATTGCTAAAGCCCATGGTTGCTTTTGTTTCATTTTCCCTGACCTTGCAGACTTGTATTTCTTAGCCTACACTGTAAAATATACCTATAATAATGGTGTGTCTTGAATGGTGCTTGCTACACACTGACTTACTGCAAATGACAGGCTTCTGCAATGTCGATTCTGACTGAAGGAGAAAGCAACCTCTTAGTGATTCTGTTTTTCCCCGTGAGCAATTTTAATATTTAACATTTCTAAATTCAACTGCAGTACTTCATTCCTTTAAAGCAATAAAGTTATGTACTCACCTCTGGCCAACCTTCTTTGAGAAATGTTGTCTATAGGTACATAGATGCTGCAGTTCCCAGCATGCAGGTGCTACTGCCACAAGGAAATTTTGCCTTGGCAGCGCCTGCACCAGTGAACTCTAGGTGCTCCCCTGCTCTGTGCAGTCACAAAAGGGAAAGGCATGCCTTTCCACCTTTGTAGTCCTGTAAGGTAAGCTCTTGGAAGCACCACCGCAGATTAGCCCAACTAAAATCTTCGCATTGTGCTTTTAATTGGAGCACTGGTCCTTGTAATGCATCTCACAGCACGGCACGGATGCCTGCAGCTCACAGCACTGCATACCAGGTGCAAGGAAACAGCTGAGGCTGCCTAACAGAAGTGGCACAAAAAGCAGAACTGCAGAAATTTCTCTCACCTGTCCCCTCTGCACAACAGCTTTGCCCCATCACTGAAGGAACTGCAGCTGCGATGACAACTAACTGGTTTTGTCAGAGGATTAGCCAGGATTATGTTAGCAAACCACTGCACCCACATGCCTTTGTCTCAAAACACTGCTGAGGCAAAGACATTCTCTCAGTTGTTTTGTTTGGTTTTTTTTTTTGAAGCTCGCTGTAGGTTTTTGAGAGGTAAAAAAGTTTGTTTCTAATACTGTCCTGCTTTGCTAGGAAATGTTTCCAAGGAAATGAAACAACCACAGTGGTGAGGTCTAAATCCGCTTTTCTGAAATCTTGCTCAGCAAGATGTTGCAGCCTTGAGAAGCTTTTTTCAAATCAGTGTTTCCTTGGGGTTTTCCCTCCAGCATCATGGCTGGAGCAGTTTAATTAACCACCCTGAATTCAGTCATTCAGACTCAGCAGGCTGTCACATCCTAATTTTATGGTAAAAATCACAACAGGGAGTGTGGCTTTGCACAGACTATCTGGAATACATGGATTACGACCACAAATTAGCATATGGACTCAAGCACAGGCGGGTCCTCAAACTTTTGCTAGACTTTCACCAAAAACTCCTAGCAAACCATTTAAAGCTCTCTGAATCCTTCTCCCTCTATTATATCCCAGAAGTGGAAAACTCCCTGGCATTGCACAGACTGGGAGCAAAAAGTGCTGAAATGCTGGAAGCTTTTTTTTCCTTTTCAGTGCAGCGTGCCAGGCTTGTTCATACGCTGAACAACACAACCATCTCTCTTGTGTGTCTGTCACTGGAAAACTTCTAACCTGTATTGCCAAGCCCCAGATGTTGAAATGGAGCTGAAATAAAACACTGTATAATGTTCAAAGTGGGCAAGTTCCTTGTTCCGGTGCTTGTTTCTGAGCTTGGCTACAGTATGGCAACTGGCTCCCCTTTACACACCTTGCAACGGAGTTCATTATAGCCCAGCCACATTTTTGAAGACTGTACATCTCCATTCTGCCCATTAAATATGACATTTGCTCAGTATACTTTATTGCAATAATACCATGTCAGTTAGAGAGACTGCAAGATCCACTTGCTGGCAGTAAACACTTGCATGTGCATGCAAAATGCTCTGTTTTCTTCTTACAGGTTTAGAGGTCAGTAAATATTCTGGAGGCACAAATGGCAGTCATCTACCTGACTTCTTGTGAAAACCAGTGGTAGCTGAGCTCATGGAAATACCATTCCTCATCTAAGTGAATCTATCCACAGCACTAGTGGTGGGTCTGTACTCTCTCTGAACCGAAATAGCACTGGGTATGGATTTCACAGACTATACTACATCAAGTTTAAATACTTGCTTTTAAATAGCTTATGTAATGTATCACAGAGGTTTGTGCAGTCATGGATTTTTGCTTAGGACTTCTTGGTCCTTATATAACCTCTGTCTCCTGGATATGAATAGTACACATAGCTAATTAAGACACAGGAAACACAAGTGTACAAGCAGAGTAAAAGGCACACACAGCTTATACAGCTTCTGACAGAAGCACTCCTCAGGTTTTGCTGCTCTTGATGCAAAGCCAGGGACGCTCCCCTCTTGTACTCCTTGCTCTTCCCCTTCAGTAACCCTAACTGCCTACCAAATGCTTGTACAGGAACTCTGACTGCAGCAAGAAGAGATGTGCCTTGCTTTGCCAGTCTTGCCATACAACTGGTTTGCAGGACCTGAAGGAAGCCCTCACAGTAAGCCAGCAAGAGGACACAGAAGATGCTTCAGAAGCAGTCAGCAAAGACAAACGTAGGAAAGAGCAGGACAAGTACATCACTGGGCTCACTGCCACCAAGGGGCTGGCTCTGGCCCGCAGCCACGTGTGCCCCAGTCTCTGCAGTGGGGCCTCCCACTCACCTGCAGCTGAGGACTGGGATGCACCAGGCTGCCAGAGCACGGCAGGAGCAGGAAGATAAAGGGCAGCGGCATGGCTGGCTCAGAGACCAAGGCAGTGCTGCCATCCTGCCAGGGCCTGGCAGCTCCCCTGCAGAAAAGCAGCAGGCAAAGCAAGAGCATCTCTGGAGAAAGCTGCCATGCTCGCCACCCAGCCAAGCCAGAGAGGTCTGCCACTTTCATCACATCCCTGGCTGAGCCCAGCCAAACTGTTTCACTGCCTGCGTTTCTCCTAAACTAAAAGCTTCTGCCAATGTACCTGCCCCCTCTGCCAAACAGGCACTCAAGGAAAGACAATTGCAGCTCCAAACAATTCTCCATCCCCGCTCACTCTCTGCTTCCACCCACTTAGCATGATCTAAAACAGAGATGTCAGCAAAGCCCTAGCACGGTTTCTGGGTCCCCCACAATCTCGCTGTGCACCATTTTGAAGGTGTCAATGAACAGGTCCATCCACTCTTGCCGCTCATTTCCAGTGGCAAACTTGGCTTTTTCGGCGGTAAAGGCCAAAGTGGCCACCAGCTGGGTGTACATTCTGGGGTCCTGGGTTTCCCGCGTGGAGTTTAGGAACTGGGCGATCGAATGTATGGTGCTGGGGATATTTATGTTGACTCCCTCTTCCATGGGGCGGAAAATAAGTGGGTTTACGTTCCCCGGGTTCCTGTCATCTGCAAGTGAGCGTCAAAAGAATATTTTCAGGGCTTTCTAGTAATGGCCGTGTCTCTGAATGCTACCTGGCTTCCTATGCACACTGCACCACAGGAGAACAGAGCTCATGAGGGACAGAAGTAAAAATCAGAGCCAGATTTTAAATCTCAAGATCTAAGTGTCAACAGCGGTGCTGGAATATAGGTCCCAGAGTGGGACATGGCTTCCTCACTGAAACCGAACCCTTCCTGCAGCTCTCACAGGAAGGGCTGGAGCCAAAGATCACTGGTGAAGAAGGGAAGGCTCTCAGTGCACTGCAAAACAGCCCTTATAGGGACCTGGGATTGAGCATCAATAGGAAAGGATCTACCCCAGAGAGGCCAGACAAGGGGAGTACAGACCCTAATGCATCTGTGCTTCCACAGGCTGGGGACAAACTAGATATTTGTACAGACTCTGCCCAGGGCATCTGACTTGGGGAACGAGGAATTACTAAATCCTGAAGAGCCCGGGAAGCACAGAATAAGTAAGACAAGTTGATCAGTTGCCTATTTCTGACAAGTGAACTCACTATGCTTATGACCAAATGATTGTATCTTACAGGTGTGATAGAATGAACAGCATTTGACAATTTGGTGGCAGGGCAACTAACTTTTTGCCACATTTACGTCCTAGGAACCACGGGATTCATACTGACTTAAAGTGCACATCAATGAAGAGGCCTCAGAAAATGACATGGAAATTTAACCACCCAATTCCTACCGACTAGTCCAGCATATTCACAATGGACAAAACAGTAATTATAAAGAAGGTCACAAAGTCCATCTTCTTTCTGCACGTGGGACTCATTGACACCAGCCACCATGTGGCTTTGAACTCTGTCACATGCAAATTGTATGCATGCCAGGGGGCCAGAAACACTTCCAAGAGAGAACTTGCCTGGCACTCGGCCCACCACCCTTTGGCTGGAGTTACTGTCCTGCGGTGTACAGTGCTCCTGTGTGGTTTCCAAACTCTTCAGGACCCCGAGAACCTCAGTCTCCACTTGGCTGTGCTCAACTTAAATTTGAATAAAATCCCAAAGCTCAAAGCCCTTTTGCATGGGTTAGAAAGAGCCTCACAGAGCATCATGCGGTTTCCATCAAAGCAAGTGGTCAGTTCATATTTGCTCAGCATTTAACCCTAACCGAGCCCAGATCAAGAAACACTCCAGCATCCAGTAAGCACCACAGTAGTTGATGGAAGGTTAAAAGAAGACAAAGGGTCTGCCTTGAAAACAGGAAAACCTGGATTTCCTTAGTCAAAGCACTGAGAGGCAGCATGCCTTCACCTGCAGATGAGAACTCAGAGTGATGACATGCCTAGCTCTACAAGGCAGCGGAGAGGAAGCTGGGTGCATGTAATAGCTCATCCTTCCCATATCCTGCTGACAAAACACAGGCTGGAGCTAGGGTACATGGCAGAAGCAATTGATTTGCTCTTTGAAGTGCCAGGACTGCAATTCTGACAACCTAAGGCCTAAAGCCCAAGACCAGGGTAGAGCATGGCTCCCCAGCCCCCTGCAACCTGAACCTGTCTGATGCATGTGCAGCTGGACACATCCAACAGATATGCATGAAGCTCACACACGTGTCCTGCAAAAGGCGCCATCTCCATTCCAAAGGTTTGCATTTAAGTTGGCACCAACTGTTAAAAATGTTCTCAGGAAACAAGAGGAAGCTGAACACCGAGCCAGAGAACCCCCAGGCTCTGTTGCACCCCTTATGCCATAATTCATCCAACACCTTTCCTTACCACTATGCAAATGAGATCATTGCAAACCCTTCATCTAGAAGGGTTCATGGTGCTTTGCCCAAAAGGCCCCTGAATCTCTGTGTATCACTTGGCCTACCAGGTGATACCTAGCACGGATCCTTGCACATCAGAGTAACTTCTGCCTTCCAGAGAAGGGTGTGGTGGCACTTTCAGAGGTCCACACCTACCCAGGCATATCATTCCACCTCCCATGTCCTCTAGGGCCCAGGTGTAGTGCCTGCTCTTGTCCTGGCCTGCCTGTGGCATGGTTTGAACCATTACCCCAAGAGGGAACACCTTCAGATGCCTCCTTGAGCCCCAGCTACCATTTCTGTTCTGGTCCTCAGTGGCAGCAGGTACAGCAAAGTGTTCTCACTTTGCATCAGAAACAGAGACACACAAGTGCACTACAAAGAAAGGACAGCCAAATTTGCGTTGCGTTGGAGGGTTTTGATGGCCAAAGCCTAGGAGAACATGAACTCAGCTGCTCAGGTCAGTCTCTCCTACAGTTTTCCTCAAATAGGCAAGCTACAAAGACCAAAACCTTCAAAGATACCTGAGCAATCACCAGTGTGGCATGGAGAAGTCACCTGCATTGCACAGATCCACAGGACAAAGCTCCTCAGAAGACACTGTAGAGGAGTGTGTGTGGATGGCTCAGCACCATGGTTTAGCACTGCTTTCTCTGCATGGCCAGGTGCAAATATTGAGAATAGCAGTCAGAGATTTTAGAGAGGAATAACACAGCTTTTCTGTCTTCAGACTTCTGATTGTTCTGGGATGATCCTTTTTCACTTTGCTTTGTGTGGTTATGGAGGGACTTCTTTGAAAATTAAAGTTGAAATTCTGTGTAATCCTGAGTTGAAGTGTGGGCTTTCAGAAAAACATGCTCACGGCAAGAGTAGAGTTTAAAAAATTGCAAGAACCGGCAAAACTTTGTCCCCTATAAGCTTTGTGTATATCAGCAAAGAGTGCATCTGTATTTAAACCGGTGTGGAGACTCAGACAGTATCTCTAGGAGTTGCAGATCTGCCCTTTAATAAGCAAAATGTGATCAAGTAAAACCACCTGCAGCAAGCAGCAGCCATCTCTTATACAAGAGGATCAGTCCTTACAGCCTTTTTCCTTTGATCCAACACCCTGAGTTAATTGTTAATTAAAATACAGCCAGTGTTAGAGAAGCCAAAGCTTTCAGTCCACTATAGTGTTGTTTTCCAAACTCTCCCTACCCTCTGTTCTGCCCTCATCATTCACAAGGAGCATCCTGCCCAGTGCTGCAAGTTGTACTCTGGATTTCAAAGGTTGCATGGATGGCAGAGTTTAGAAAGGGGTAGTATGTAATGGAGACACAGAGCAAGTGAGAAATTCATTGGTGAGCTTGGAGGTCAAAACCTGGTGGCTCCCACGAATTTGGACACGGAGAAATATCAGAGCTGAGCAATGCTCACATACTAACACAATACACTAGTACCTACCTGTGAAGAGAACTCAGAGGGACAGGGAAGACCAGGGGATGAAAACCCAGAGCCTCTCCTGATGTGAAATAATGCTGTTTCCCAAACACCCTGCTGTGCAAAGGTAATGAACAGCCTTGCACATTCCCTCCCACTCTTGAGCCTTGTTCACTCTCCCCTGGACCTACAACTATGTGCAGATGGCACAAAGCTATTTGTAATGTTTACCTGTCTGACAGGGCAGCTCAGGGCAGACGATCTGGGGATCTGGAAGGAAAAGAAACAAGGAAAACTGAATGATGTGCAACCATCCCCCTTCACTGCTTGCACAATCAGAGTGGCAGGTTTCTCATAAGGGGAAAGGACAACGGCCCAAAAGGCTGACTCTTATCTGAGGAAGGACTGTTTATTCTGGGCTGCATAAAGGTCAGTCCACCCACCACGAATGACCCAACTTGTGAGTTGGGACCTGCTGGGAAACAGTGGCTGCAAATCCCACTGCTAGAAAACTCCAGTTCCCATAAGTGCTAGGACAGGTACTGACCTGGGCAAAGCATGTCCTCCATCTTGTCAATGAATTCCTCTGCCACCAGGTCTGAGAAGAGCCTCATCTTCTGCACTCGCTGGGGTTCATTGCAGGCAATGGAGACCAGGGTCTCGCTCTGTTCCGGCTGATCAAATATGTCTCCAATGCCAATGGTATTGACGAGCACATCCCTGCCACAAAGAGCTCCTAGGTTCTTGTCATCATCACGAGGGTCATAGCGCCCATCTGTGATCACCACAGCAAACACTTGGGCTTTCTCTCGACGGCTTTCTTTGATGAGCTTGTTGTAGGCAAACTGCAGGGCAGAAGGTGTCCAGGTGCCTCCAGCAATCCACTCCAGACGCTTCACTGCTTCCTTGAAGCTTGACAGTGAATTGATGCGCTCATCATCAAGCTTGATGGCTTCAAAGGTCCCCTCATGACTGTACTGCACTACTCCAACACGGGCACCTGCCAATGAAGCGTCAACATTGCTTGGCTTTGAAATGAGAAGTAGAGAAAGTCAGCAAACTTTCATATTAGCAAATAACTGCTCAATTGGCCTACAAAGCTGGAAAGAGAAGCGCAGAAGCTGTTGTGAAAATGCTGAGCATATGGATGTTGACTAGGGCAGCTACAGATAAATACAGAAATATGGAAGCTGGAGTGATCTAAGACCCTGATCCCAGGGCCCCCTTCTGCCACTCCCCACCACACACACATGCACTCCAGACCTGTCTCCGACTTAGGATCCTTGGCAAGAGAGCCCAGCCGGCTGACCACGTTGACAACAAAATTTTTCTCCAGGGTGAAGTTGGTGTAACCAATACTCTCTGAGCTGTCTATGACGAACATGATATCCAGGGCACCACAGCGCTTCTCACAGTCTGGGGAGAGGGACAGAAGGAGGAAATCACAAAGGTCAGCAATGGTGCAAATGAGCCGCTACGGCACAAGAGACCATCTGTGGGAAGATGGAGGCATTTAATATCAAACCAGCCATCCACAGGGTCTATGGTGCTGCCTGCAGCTGACAGCATAGGGATTTTACATGCATCTTTCTGTCAAGACATAGCAAAACAAACTTTTTTAACCTAACTGTGTAATACACTATCCTGTCATCTACACTATGAAACTTTATATCTGCAGTGGCAGAGAGAAATTCCGGGACGTAAGTCCAGCTTCCCCTTTGTGCCTTTGAGGGCAAAAAGGCAGAGTGTTTCTAGCTGTCTCCTTTCACCATCTATTGAATTTTGTCCCCCTGCCCAACAACGGCTCTCATCTCTGAAGAAAGGCAACAGTCCACTTACCACAGCACCCGCATGTCTCTCGCACGTAGGTCATCACGTCGCAGTCCTGCCAGCAAAGGGGTGCAGGGTGAGTGCCTCCCTCCCTCCCAAAGGGAAAGGTTCCCCATTCCCTTCCCACCTGGCCACCCTCTCCCCTCTCTCCTTGTCCCCGTGGGAAGCCACAGGCCACCCTGTCTCTGCTCATGGCAAGGTGGCTCCCGCACCAAGGAGCAGCAGGACTTGGTGCCCTGCTTCGTTCTCAGCCTGCACGTGGCAAAACCGAGGCTGATAAGGGTGGAAGAGCACCCGGGGGTGCAGAGATTTCCTACTTACAGTCAGGCCAGGATCTCCTGGTGGGCCGGGGGTCCCCTGTAGGAAGAGCACAAGGATTTCAGGCACAGTTTTTGGGAACTAGACATCAGCACCATCAAAAACTTGGCTTTGTGCAGAGGTCAGGCATAGGAAGGGTAGGAAAGCCTCTCTTGGAGCTAGAAGACACCCCCTCCAGCAAGTCCTACTGGGGGGAGAGCTGCTGGGGCCCCCTGGGCTTTAGAGCTGCATGGGAGCGAGAGGAGAGGGGAAGGGAGGAGGGTGCCAGAGCAGATGCTCAGGCATGACGCACCTGTACTCTACCTCTGGGCCTGCTTCACCAGTTGGGCCTCGAGATCCAGGTTCACCTGCTGGGCCAGGATCACCCTGGGAGAGAAACGGAGAAGGGTTGAGTGTTTTCTTGGCAAGGCTGGTGATAGGGGCTCCTCCTGAGCCACTTGTCAGGGCACAGCCCTGCTAGCTGTGGTCACCAGCCTGCCACTGCTGAGCTTGGAGCCAGGGGAATATCTCCAGCATGTGGCTACGTTGGTCATATAGGAGAGAGCAAAGCGTGCATGCTGGCAGCACGCAGCACTGACACAGGACGTGGCTCCTTGCCACGTGTCTCAGGCATCCATTAACCTCACACACCCAGGGCATGCACAAGCAGGTGTGCACTGGTGACACAGAGGTCCGCTTACCGGTTCTCCCTTCTCTCCTTTTGTCCCTTGAGCTCCTTTTGGTCCAAGCTCACCCCTTCCTCCCTGTTTGGAGAAGGGAAAAACAGATGCATCAGAGCACATATGGATGCACTCAGACAGCACAACTGCTGCGAACCCATCATAAACACAGGCCTGCCTGGCCCAGAGGAGCACCCTTTGAACCAGCAGCTCTGTACAGAGCAAATAAATGATGTTTACACAGGCATTAACTGAAGAATAAGGAAGTTTTGCAAAACATATTTCACATTGTTTCCACAGGAGACAAGCTTGGACGATACACCCAGGCTCTGCAGCTGCAGGTTCTGCAGGAAGACCATCTCCTCAGCCACTCACCCCACGGGCTGGGAGGCAACTATTCAGCATTTGGGTCAGGACAAAAGAAATCAAATGCACTCACCTTGGGCCCTGGCTGACCCTTCTCACCCTTGTCACCCTGTGAGGAAGAGGAATGGATGGGTCAGAAAGAACGGGCTTCACATTTACACCTGAAGTCTGTGATGAGGGGCACAAAGCTAAACAGTAGGCGTAACATAGGAGTGGTGGTTGGGGTGGTGGGCACAGCCACCTCCATGTCACTGTGGTCACCTTGGGGTCCCCAGTGCCCCCGATGAGAGGCTGAGGGATCTGTGGCCAGGTTCAACCCCTGTGGAGCAAAGGAAGGATCTCCCTAACACGGGGGTCAGGACTGGGGACAAGGATGGGATGCTGGAACTGGCACTGAAATGCCGCTTCCTCACCCCCCTTCACTTCACTTTCTTGTGGCCCTCAGTTTTCTTCCTCCTTCCCCCTTCACCCAGGCTGCTCAACTCTGATGTTATCCTCCACTGAAACAGGCTTCCTCCAATGCTGTTGCAGTGTGCCTGTCTTCACTGGACGAAGCATACATACCTGTGGTCCTCTGGGTCCAGGGTAGCTAAAGCCAGGCCTGCCTCTGTCACCCTTTGGTTAAATAAAGAGAAAGATCTGTCAGAATTCAAACTTGAGTTACAAACCCTGGTGAGACCAGAGCCATTTTCATCCCCTCCCTGGGGAGAAACACCCCCAGGAGCCATCACTTCTGTGCTTGCTCCTGAAACAATGGGAATGGCTGTCCAGAGGGCATGGGGTCCTGGGGCCATGACATGCCCTGGGGCAACCCTGAATCTGTGCAGGGTGAGGGATGCAATCAGAGCTGCTTTGGTTGGAGCAAGACCTAAGTCACTGTCCACAGGGAGGCTCACGATCGAGCCTTCCTGTTTCTGCGACACATATGTAGGTCAGCAAATTTCTGCAGCAGAAACTGTCTTAAAAAAAAAAAAAAAAAAAAAAGACCACACAAAGATACTCTCCTTCAAATACTCGAGTTGCATTCAGGGACTTTACCTTTGGTCCTGGTGGTCCAGCGTCTCCTCTTGGGCCCAAGTCTCCAGGGTCCCCACGTGATCCCTGCAGGGCAGAGTTGGGGGGAGTGGGTGAGGACATTTCCTGCAGCTCCCTGCCTGCACCAGGGACCACGCTGGGGAAATGGGCTGCTAAGGTGATGTGAGGTGACCTCCCCCCATCTTCCCCAGCTGTATGATCCTCTCCGGTGCAGTTATTATGGGGAGATCCTGAAGTGTTTCTCAGCTCAGCTCAGAAAGCAGGGGCTCCTGGGTCCTGCAATTTCTCCTTGCCCCCACTAAGGACTAGCTGGGGGCCCCGAGCCAGTTTTAGAGCCTCCCCAAGGACAGGTCACGCAGGCATCCCTCAGAGGGGATAATGCAGCCAGCTTATGTTGGCAGGGCCAGCTGTCACTGCAGAGGGAGGGCACGGTCACACGGATGCCCTGGAATGACTTACCGTCTTGCCTGGCTCTCCCACAGCACCTGAAGGGCCTCGAGGTCCTGCCAGTCCTTTGTCTCCCTACAAAGCAAAGCAAGAAGCAAGGGGTGAGAATATGTAGGAGCAGGTACAGGCAGACCCCTCTGAGTGGTGCACCAGGCTTTGGCACCTCTGGAGGCAGCAGTGTCCTGGCCTCCTATCTGTAGCTCTCGCTGCACAGACAGCCCATCTTGCTCCTTTTGCCAGGGATGTGTGTGAGGAGCAAAGACTGGCGAGCTGCCTTGGCTGGCAGCAGCGCTCTCCCTCCCTCCTGGCTATCGTGAACCCTTGCTCTGTGCTTACCCTTGCTCCTTTGCTTCCAACCTCACCGGGCAGGCCACGAGGACCCTCTGGACCAGGATCTCCCTGCAAGGAAGATAAAGATATTCCTTGTCAGGCATGTCTCCAGCTCTGTCTATGTGTGTGGCAGTCCTCTCTGGAGCGAGGAGGCATAACACTGTTCTCAGATCTGGTGCTTCTTGGCTCAAGAAGCAGCATCAGGGCAGTGTGCTCTCTGAACGTGACTCTCAGGCAGCTTTACTGCCCTTCATCCCCACTAATCTCTGGATCAAGTCCTGGAAGTGGAGGCCATATATGCTGGTTTTGGGGGTGATTGTCACAGCTCCTTAAAGGCAGAGCAGGCAGAAGGCACAGCAGGAGCAGAGCCCACTGGTACCTTCAATTCCCAGCTCCGGCTTTGCGCATTCATGTCTGGGCAGTAGAGCATCATGTGTGTCAGTCCTGTGCATATTGGGCTCATTTGCAATGGTCTAGGCAGTTGCTTTACTCACTCTTTCTCCCTTGGTCCCTGGACTGCCTTTGCTGCCCTTCGTCCCTGGATCTCCACGTCGACCCTTGGAAAACACAGAAAGAGGTCACATAAACAGGATGTCAACATGGATTCCAGCTGAAGTGACACTTGGCTGCCCTGCCTTCTCCCTCCTGACCCAAGAGACATCTCCCTGCCCCCTTAAACAGCCTGTACCTGGCAGCAGGGCAGCAGGGATGCCCATGATGGCACTGCTTGGGGGAGTCTTGCCTTTGGATTTTAGGAAGCCACATCCAGACTATTCTTCCAGAAGGGTGGTCACCACAGTGACCACAAACACTCATGTTCATTCCCTCAAGATTAAATGCTCTGCTTTACTTCCAGCTCATCTGGCTGTGCTTCCCCCTCTGGATGTTGCACAAGGACTCAAGCTGATCTACACCCTCTAGGCTCTGCCATGTGGTGCTGGTGGAGCCGTGCTGTTATGCTGTTTAAGCTCCTTGCCAGATAGAGACCACACGGCACCAACTGCCAGGACAAACTCAGAGGTTATTCCCCCATGTGCAGACTGGGATGAGCTCCTCACACTGGGGTTTATCAGGAGTGGCAGACAAGGCCATCAGCATCTGCATGACTTTTGGGATGCAGAAAGCAGGGCAGGCAGGCTAAATACGGTAGTTTTTCAGCCTCATGGCTCAGACATCATAGAAATAGGTTTCTGTTTCCTTTCCTGTGGTGGTTCCGCTCGAGTGGGCAGCTGAGCTCCACCACAATGACTCTCTCACTCCCTGTTCCTCTTTGAGGAGGATGACCTGTCCAGCACTCACTCATGAACCTGGGTCAGGTTTCACAGCATGCCCACCTTCCAGGGAGCTATTCAGGCACTTACAGGCTCTCCTTTGGGTCCTTCAGGTCCTGGATTCACCTCTTCCTCCTCTGATTCCAGCAGGTCCTTGAGCTCCAGGGTTGCCTGGAATTCCCTGGAAGAAGAAAAAGAAATAGGATTTGTCAGAAGAGAGGTCAAGGTGCACACTATAGCCTTTCTACCTGGGACAAGATGGGAAGAGGAGCAGAGATGCAGAGCTAGAAAGGTAAATCCTTTTAACTCCTTGTGCTTTCCCAGTGCTGGTGGCTAGTTTGCAGAATCATCCGGGTGCACATTTTGCACATTCTGCACATTGCAGAATCATTCGGGCCACAGATGTCCCATGACCAGCAGCTGCTGCTTCTCTTGCTCCATGCCACATGGAGCAGTCCCTAGGAGGACACAGGAGACACACGAGTGCTGTGTCAACCTACCGGGCTCCCTTTTTCTCCTGGAGGTCCTGGGGGTCCACTGCGGCCAGGCCGACCAGGATCTCCCTGAAACAAGAGAGCAATGGTCATTGGCTCCTGCATCCAGTGATGGGATCCAAAAGCCAGGCAGTCAGAACCCATCTACTCCATGAGTATTGAAGGATTTAAGAGTAAATACAGGCAGTGGTGTGTAGCTGTTGCCACTGGTGGTCTTTGTCCATACTGTCTGCTGGCCATTCAGAGTACTTGTACCTTTATGCCTTCATCTCCTCTTTCACCTTGGTCTCCTGCATCTCCTGGGTAGCCATCAGGGCCCTAGGGAGAAAAGGGACAAAGAACCATACATACAGTGGTAACAATGTGTATTTTCTCTGCAGAACAAACCAACTCACTGGTAAAGTCATTCTCTAGAGACTGAAACTCAGTTTTTGCTTGCTGCTAGCACTGATGAGGGGAGCAGCTGCTCCTCTGTATATGGAGAGGAAAGATTCCAGCTTTCCTGCCCATGGAAAGGAGGCACAAAAAAGGCAGGCCTGGGGATCCCAGACCTGGGATCACATCATGCAATAGGTAGGAAAATGGGGCAGTAACCTCTTGTTAGTCATATCTTCCTGCCTGTGCAGCTAGAGCTAGGGCTGCACGCTTGATGTGCTGAACAAAAGAACAAAGCATCCCTACCTTGTCACCACGGTCTCCCTTGCAGCCTGGTGGTCCAATTCGACCCAGCTTGCCCTGGAGAAATAGCATTCAAAAGAAAAAGACAGAAAAGCTCTAAGTGTCTGCAGGGAAAACACAGCTTTTTCCTGTTAACAGTTAGTAATTTTTAACATCACTAGCTGGCCATACCTGAGATCAGTTACAGAATAAATAGTTAAGAGTATTCCTTAATTCCTTAAGTAGGAGTGTTGCTGTCTGTGGTGTGAAGAAATAAGTGGAGAAGGAGAAAAGTGTGGGGGCTTTAGAAAGTCTTGAGTGTTGTCCTGGGCTCCTCCTGCAGATGTGTTAAGCTTCTGTTTTACAGCTTCAGCAGGCGTGTTAGAAGTGGGGAGACCTGATATGATCTCACAGATGTACTTGTTGAGGATGTAAGATAACGTACAGAGAAAGACCAATGTGCTGGCCTGTGAGCAAAGCCAGCTGAAACTGTATAAATTTAGGCTAGCCTGTTCTAGTACATTTGCATAGCATGTAAATATGGGGTAGGTCATATCCCTCTGCACTCACCTGAGAAGGGACAGAGGATTTCAGGGATTTTGTTATGAGGTACTTGAATGCAGCTTTAGGGCTTTAACATTAAGAACAAACATTAGCTCAGAGAGAAAGTTTCAGATTCTTTGAGGAACTGCCTTAGAAACCAAATTTCTGCAAACATTTCTGTGCAGATGTCCTGTAGGGGTCACTAACACTCAAGATGAGCTATCTACACCCAGATCATCCTGCAGCTGGAGGGCACCCTGTGTTATACATGTACATGGATATCGAGTTCCTGCAGACAGCTTTCTGACTAAGGGATAGCACTCCTGTGACCTGAATGAATGCATCTCCAGCTAGCTCAAATATTTCTACAGGACATGCAGAATAACGTGCAAATCAGTTTTTAGAAACCTCAGTCAGACTGGTATGGAAGGAGCCAAAAACCAAGTGTGGGGGGTGAGAGGAAAGGAACAACCTGTGGGGACAAAGGGACGTAAACAAATCAAACAGCAGTGGTGTTACCGGGTGCACTCCATGCTCTCACCTTCTGTCCATCGGTGCCGTTCCTGCCTGCCAAGCCAGCTGCTCCCTAGGATCAGGGGGAGAAAAGAGGGATCAGGGATGTGTTGACACACTCAAGGGTTTGTAGATGGAACAACGTGCAAGTTAGAAAAGGTGCTCTCTTACCCTCCGTCCATCGGATCCAATCTCACCCTAGGGACAGAAGAGGACAGGAGTCAGCCACGCTCGCTCACCACACCAGCCTGTGCTCCCACACGCCTGCCTTCCCTCCTTCAGGTGCACAAGGACTGTGGATTCTCAGGCAGCATTTTCTGCAAATGACTCTGAAACCTCCTCGTCTCTCCCTGGCCTCCCAGAAGTGGAAGCCAGGACCCCTTTCTCCAGGGAGCTGCTCCCCTCAGTCTCCAGACCCTCTTCTTGTGCCTAGTGCTGTATTCCCCTGGCCTCACAGGGAGAAGAGAGGTCTGCACCAGCTCAGGATCAACCTGTGCCCGAGCGAGGAATCACTGGGTGCAGCTGCTCCTTCCATGCTGGAAGCAGGCTACCCCACTTCCCAAGAAGACAATTTCGCATCAGCATGTCACAGGTCTCTGAGCAGAGCCTGAAATCCCTCCCCATTTCTTCAGCTACATACAACGGAGGTGGTTGTTCCCCCCATCACAGCTAAACTCTCCCTCTTTGCAGAAAAAGGTGCCCCCCAGTGCCAGACATACCATGCAGGCTCTTCTTTCTCACCTTTTCTCCTTTCAGCCCTGGAACACCCTGGAGGAAGATAAAAAGGGAAGAGGGAAGATGCTTTGTTTAGTGCCTGTGATGAGCAGAAGCAAAGGCAGCAGGGTCGGTAGGCACGCAGGGCATCTCGGGTGGGAACGGGCAGGTGGAGGAGAGGAGCAGAGCTCTCTGCACCAACCCAGACCGACACGTGCCTACCAACAGGCAGCAGAAGGATCCCAGTGCTGTTGATATTCTCCAGGGGGAAAGTCTAGCAATAATTCCTGGAGTCACACCAAATGCCAGAAGTAAAGCAGCCAGATTTACAGAGCCCCTTAAAAGAGGCCACAGCGGCATTCACTGTGCACAGCTCAGGGGCTGGCTGGTGGGTGTTTTATGCTTTCCCCAGGAGAGGGGATGTCAGGGAGTGACATAAAGGGAAGCAATGCCGAGCAGTGGGAAATTAGCCTGAGTCACCCCCTGCTTTACCAAGAATACAATGAATGCAAACCGCTCAGCTTCTGGCTATATGATTCTTACCTTGGGACCAGGGTATCCGATCGGACCTTCAATACCTGGGTCACCCTTAAGGAAAGAAAACACCAAGTGTTACCTCAAGCAAGGCACAGATGCAACCCCAGCTGGCACCAGGACTGCGCTCCTTACTGCGACGGAGGGGTAGTTTTACAACTCACCTGCTGTCCCTTCATACCAGGGGAGCCTGGTTCACCCATGCTTCCCTTTGCACCCTAAGGGAAAAACAAACCACAGGTCAGGACTTGGTGATGACTGGGAGAAAAAAGTCAACTTCTGGTAGCATCAGGTTCCTACAGATCTTGGGGCAGCTGCATGGGGGTGGGAACACACAGCCTGGCTCCACAGAGCTTGGAGCTCTGTTGGGGTGTGGGTAGAGTGAGACCCTGCATACAAGAGGGCTCTGCTGTGGGCAGTGGGAGAATTGGAAACTCCTTTCAGCACGGCCCCGCAGTCTCCCAGGGCCAAGTCAGATGCTGGGCAACTATTTCGTATGTGGGAGCTCTATCTGCAGCGTGAGACCTGTCTGTGCCCACGTGAGGTGAGATCTAAGGGGTTCTGCAGTGTCTGCAATGGTCACTGGTATTATTCTTCTAACGGGTTAGAGTAACCTACCTTCTGTCCTCGGAATCCCTTGAGACCAGGAGGACCTGTGATCTCCAGGCAGCTCATCTTGTAGCACTGAAACACACCAAAATAAACACAAAGTGTAGCCTTCTGCTGCACGTTCTCAGCCACCCAGAGCGTGCACTCTCCACGCCTCTCCCCCTGACTGCAGCAGTAAAAGCCACCACAGGCTCCAGCTGGGTCAGAGCTGAGGCAGCAAAAAGCACATTGAAAAATTCTGCCCACATGTTAGAAGCTGCCACGAGCATATTCATTACGGCTTTGGCTCTGGGTCCAAGCTCAAAGAACAGGACTTGCTAAGTGTCAGCCATGGGGTTGTGGGCTTGCTCTTAGGAGCACCACTCTGCACACTCCTCTCCTGTCCACAAGGCTGGGCAGGAACTCTAGCTTGCTGAACACCTATAAAACATGCCTTCAAGTACAACATAATGAAATGAGTCTCTTCAATAGACTTGTAGTCATTGCCATGAGGGAAATCACAGGTGAGGGGAAGGTAGAAGGTGAACAGTTCAGCATGCTATTTCAACTACTGGGTAAAGGGACAGGTCCCCATGCTCCACACCGGTCCGCAAGTGGGCAGAGCCCCCCTCCATGCAGCTCAGTGCAAAACCAGGCCTGCTCCTTCGGGGTACAAGCTGGTCTTCGTTAGGAAGCAAGGCAAGTAAAACTATGAAATGGAATGCAGATGCTGCTCACTCACCTCAGCATAGGCTTCATGTTTCTGCAAAGGAGAAAACAGGATAAACAGAATCAGTTAAGGCAGTCAGCTCTGAGAGAACTGCATCAATCCCCTGGCAATGCATGTGATGGTTAATGGTGGGGGAAAGGTGATTACAGTCCTATAGCTTTAAACATATCCTAGGCAGAGTTCCCCACTGATAGAGCCTCACAAATGGAGCCCCAGGAACCACTCCAGCAGTGGGCAGGAGGCACAGGGAGCCTCACAGGTCCCAGTGCTGCCCCTTCCTCCATGTGTCCCCTGGTGGGGCACGGGTCTGGCTTGAGCAGCAGCCAGGGCTTGGATGGATCCTGCCTAGGGGAGCAGAGACACAAAACAAGGGGCCCTGGATAGGCATCTAGCCAGAGAAAACACACATGCTCAAGGCCCCATTTGACCCCTTCGTGTTGAAAGGACATAAAAAAAGGAAGAGGAGCAAAATGATTTTCCCAGGTACGGGAGCTCTCTAGAGCCTCACCATGAGGTGCCCCACCCCACCGACACATCCACTCTTGTCACCCCTCTCTGGTGGATCCCCCATCACATTCTGCTCCTGGGGCAGCACAGTCAGTGTCCCTCACCATCGCTTTGATTATCCTCTCAATAGTGTTCTCGTCGATGGTCAGGGCGTTCTTCTGTGTGATGCTGTAGTTGCTGCGGTACAGGTCGTGCGGCGGGCTGGCAATTTCCCGAAGTCCGTGCTCATAGACGTCCTCACTGGGGGCCACGACGAAGAGCTTGATCCCCATGTCTCGCGCCCTCTCAGCTTGCATCTTCATCCCCCCGCAGGGACTGCCAGTGACGTGGCCATCAGTGATGACCACCGCAAACTTCACATCACGGGCCGCCTGGCTCTGGAACTGCTGTGTCATGTTGGAGATAGCACAGTCTGTGAAGGTGCCCCGGCCAAGGTACTGAATAGCAGCCAGCTTGGCGAGGTATGTGTCTTTGCTTCTTGTTAAAGGGCTGTAAATTTCCACCACATCTGAGTAATGAAGTCCTCCAAACATCCAAGTGATGGAGACTTGGTTCTGGTAGACCTCATTCTCCAGTTTTTCAATGAACTGAGGGATGAACTGCTTTATTTGCTCCACAAGGCTCTGGATTGGCACAGTCTGCAGAGCAATACTCTCTGAGGTGTCAATGATGAAGTACACACTGATGGGGCAGTCCGTCTTTTCTGCATGGAGACAATTTTTCAGAATTTGTCACAGCAGTTTATGCAATGCGGCACCCTCTTCATTATTCCCCAGAACACTGGACCGAGGAGATTAGAGCAGATAGAGTTGTGAAGAGAGCAAACAACAGCACAAGGCATGAGGTTCAGCTTCCTCCAAGGGTGCTGCAACTCTAATCAGGAGTTATTTCTAACTAGACTGGAAGAAATGAGGACACTGAGGACTAAATGCCAGGTTTGAACTAAGAAGAGCAGGGACATGACTTTTGCTCTCCTGGACTATAGATGAATGCCCTGCCCACTAAGTTGCTGTTGCTCTCTCTGGTTTAAAAACATTTTCAAAAGGATTATAGTGAGATATATAAGTGAGATACGGGAAAAAGCACAAGCCCCATCTACCGCTACTGGTATCTGTGTTCAGGTCAGAAGACTCCAATGTCAAGGACTTCAGATCTGCTTCTTACTGAATCAACCTTGAAAACATTTTTATTTTTTTTTTTGTAAATGTCTGTCTGTATGTCTAAATCATCTCTTCCACATTGCAGCTAGGAAGTGCTGAAATTGCAAAGTTCAAAATGGGCTGTTTTCTGACATTAGAGATGTATCTGAGTTCTGAAGACTCATCGGTATTTAGCACTGCATCGGCTGGGAGCAGCCACCACTGGCAGGGCTCAGCTCTTCTACTTCTGAACTGCACTCAAGATCAGAAAAGGGAGTTTCAGTGCAGGACAGGGTTCCCTACAGAAAGACAGATGACTGTTCCAGGGTGCTGCCCAGGTGTGCAAAAGGGGCAGGAGAAGTATAATGTGCCAATGTCAGTTCCTTGTGAGAAGGCTCTACAGCTGACCATGGCTGTTGCTTTAAGATTGCTGCCTACAAAGGAGATGGACACCCAAATTATTCAGTTAATACCTGTACAGGAGGCAACAGGCTCCTCTTCCAACTGAGCATGGAGAGAAACTAGAGTCAAACAAAGAAGAGTGGAGAAAAAGGCTTGTCGGAACATCTCAGCAGTTCCTCTGGGCGTTTAGGTGCCTGCAGGAAAACACAAGTTACATGTTAAAGACAACACACCAACTCCTAGCTCTGACAGGAAGACATAAAGCCAGACAATGCTTATTGTTAAATCTGTGTGAAAAATATGACCTCTTCATCACCGTAATGCATCACTGGGCCCCTTACTATAGATTTTTATATGGACTTGAAAGCTAAGCAATTCAAATATTTGCTGGTGCAGACAGTGCAAATGATTTAGAAATGCTTGGCCTTCTCTGTCTAAGGGAAAGGATCAGGTGGTGGAACTGCTGACAGTGTGTTGGGATCTTCTGATTTCATAGCTCCTATCCTGTCACCCTGCGGGTGTAACCATCCACACTTTCTTCATCTATTCAGCCAGACCACAAGTGAAGGTACACAGCAGGTCCTTTCCATTTCCAGCTTGTCATGCGAGTGTGGTGATGCCTGAGTATACCAAAAGGGTACAAAATCCCTCTCTTTGAACCCATGGTCAAAGGAGTGAATAAACAAGCATTAGCAGGAAAACACAGCTTCAGCATTCAACACATCGCTGGGCCTCTGAAGTCCAACTGCACATGGGAATATGTTTTTTGTAGGGTTACAATAACCTAAGCAGCAGCAAAGTTGGAGATCTAGTCTGAAGAGTTCTTGAGAATGTATATAGGTGTTCAGAGGAGCCAAGGGTTTGAAACGACATTCACAGAGAAAATACAAGTGACAGTAATCGACAGTAAGGAACACAGCAGAACAGTCAATGCTCAGTTCTATGTCTAGAGGACAACTGTACTGATTAGCATGTCAGCTTCACAGTACACAGACCAGACACCTACTTTTCTGCTTGGTGGTCAAAACCAGACAAAAAGGTCTATGTGTGACCTCTGTTATGAAAAGAAGGCCTCAGTCCAGTCCAGAAAGAAAGCTTCTTCCTTAAAAGTTTTTTTTTCTTTTTTTTTTCTTTTTTTTTCTGGGTGTAGCTCTTTGGAAAAATCCAAGGCTTGAATAGCCCCCCAGTGCATTCATCCTCCCTGAGTGGAGCTGTGCTGACAGTTCAGGCAAGGTTAAGGAGGGCAGGTTAGCACTGCAGCTTCGCTGCTGACTTAGTTGCACGGAAAACAGCATTACCTGATGGCTACAGTTAGCTCAGCATCCCTGGCAGTTCCTTAGCTCTCTCCATGTGGCTAGTCAGCAGTTATTCTCTGGTTGGACACACTCCATCCTAGTTTACAGAATCATAGGATTCTGCAATCTTGTTTATACTGGAAAGACTAGTTACTATCAGTGCCACCAGTATCCTTACAACACAGACAGCCTTCCTCCTTGCTAAGGCTCGTGCTAAGGCTTATGCTAACAAGCCTGCAAGAGCCATTGCTGAGGCTGGATTTTAGACTGGGGAAGAAGACACTTGCATGCTCTTTGGAGAGCTCCTGGAGAGGGGACAAGAAGCACAGATATAAAAGCTTCAAGGAGTACCAACTTGAGGTGCTTCACAGACATTGATAAGAAAAACCCTCTGATGGTAAGGGACCTCATGTGCCTCCAGCTTAGCACCTAAATATCTCTGTCAATAATTTTGGCCATGTGTCCTTCTCCTTTCGCTCAAGAGAGGTTACAAAGCTGTTTCCAAAGAGACCCAGCTGTGGCCTCATAAAGTCCATGTTTAGGTCAGCGTAGCTTGGTTTTCATTGTGCTGCATGGAACAGAATAGGTATTGTAAGGATAAAATACTTTAATGCTAAGGGGGTATTTTAATAAGATCAAGCTTTCTCTCTCTAAGTTTACTACAGGCCTTCCGCATCCTGTTTGTTCTCCACAAAGCAGAGCTTCAGGAGGTCCTGATCCCTTGGAAGACATGACATGGCTTCAGACTGCACCATTTTAGAGCCAGTCTTCAGTGACTGCTCAGGAAGCTGGAGACGACAGCTTTTGGAGAGGCTGGGAGTACTGGAGGCTTTGGCCAAGTGTCTGACTCACGGATCACAGCATCTCGGGTTTAACCACCTCCCTTCCTCCTGCCATGTGTGGGTGAGAAAGGCTTTGTGCAGAAGAGCTGCTCTGCAGGCAGGACCACGTAGCTGGAGGGTGCAGCTAAATTGCATGGACAACCAGGCCTAGCCCTGTGCCCACAGCCCTTGGGACTTTGGACTGCATCCATGAAGCACTGTAGCCTTTGCCTCTACACAGAGATGCGAGGCAGAAAAACTGTAGCTCACAGCACCAGGCACACTTCACTCCTTTGTCATCCTGTAGCACACAGTCTCCTTTATTCTGCTCCATCGCGTGCAGGCTCCTTCTCAGGGATCACAGCCCTTCACCCGCGGCACGTGCTGCCCTGCCCAACATCCCAGTGCCTCCAGCTACCCCTGTGGCTCTCCTTCTTGCCTTGCCCTTACGAGGGCCAGGCACAGCTCAGCAGTGCCAGCTGCTGTGTGTGAGCAGGGGACAGGGGCTGTGGCATGCTCTGTCCTTCCCCACCCGCTGATCCCATTAACAGTGACTGGGAGCATGGGGGCAAGGCTGCTACAGCCTATCTCCCCATCTGAAGGGTCTCCAAAACTGGGGTAGGGAATGCTGCTTATTCTGTCCTCCTGCGTGCTATCAGGGTGGTTCTGCTGCAAATCCCTGTAATATTTGACATTTTCCTCGAAGCCCCACCTCCTGTTGTGAAATGCTTGGATGGGAATCTCAGATTTCACATTTTCTGGACATTGAAGAAAAATTTTGAACATTGAAAAAAAAAAAGATCATGCAAATTGGGAGCTCCTTATGCCTGAATACTTGGTTCTGGCCATGCTCTTCCTCCTTGACTTCCTTTCTCTCTCTGCCAGAGTAGGACCATGACATTGTAGGAGCACATCCTTACAAGGATTTCTCTTGAAATCTTCTTCTGACAGTATTTGTATTGTTAAGTGATGCATCACTTTCCCCAGGAGAAAGAATATCACAGGGAATCTTAAGCAATGGTTTGGGGTCATCTGAACAGATTTTGAGGGCATTAGGCTGTGCTGCACCATCCTCCCTGCATTAGGGGCTGTGCTCCTACCTGTTACCTCTGGTGCTCAGCAGAAACAAACAAGGCCTGTGCTGCTCCCACATTCACACTCCGGGAGACATGGCTGTTACCAAGATCATTGCAAAAATATATGGAGTTATTTAGATAAAGCCCTGCAAGAATTGTGGTCTTGCATGAGGTCCCGAGTTCTCTACTCGTGGGTTCCTCTTCTGACCCTGAATAACTGAATCAAATGCAGCATTACAGCAAACAAATGACTTGCAATGACTTTTGAGTGTGCAAATTACTTTTCGCTTAGTTGCGTGCCCACAGCAGATTATCAGACTGATCAGACATTAATGCTCTATAAAGGCCATCTCATGTGTCTGGCAGATCCATGGCCTGTCTTCTACACATTAAAATTTCTGAAGTTCCTCTTGGTGCATGGTGTACTTCTCCTTCAAAACCACAACACCTATTATAGCTGAGCAAATTTTCCCCATATTTACATGAATTTTGTTGCTCCACTTTCTAAGCTAACTCTGTCCGCAATGAGCTGGTTTATGGACACACACAGTGTTTTTCTCTCAAGGAAGGAAGAATTGTATTAATTATGTCATATGCAGAATTTAGTCCCAATTTCTTTCATGGCCATGATCAATGGGCAGTGCCCGTGGTGAGCCATACGTGCAATGTGCAGGCAGCATTTTGCTCCTCTCGGCTGTTCGCTAAGTAAAATAAAACCAAAAGAAATGCGTCTCATTTGGAATAAACGCATTTGTCACAGTGTCCACTCAAATGAGTCCCACAGTTTTAGTGTCTCCTCTGCCATCCATTAGGAAGCTTTCCCTATAGCGGAAGATAGTCTAAGCTCTTTTACAGCTCTCCTACTGCAATTACAGTGGGACATATACAAGGGAAAGCACACAGAGAGGAGGCCAGCACCATAGGAAGGCTGGGAGGAGCCAGCCTCCACCCGGGTGTAAGAGCAGGCTCCTCTGCAGGACCGTCTTGGTGATTGCAGCCGCACCCGCAGCCACGACTGAACCGCTGGAGCTCCAGCTATTGCGACCAGAACTGAGCACACTGCTCAATTTACAGTCCTTGTGCAGACCCCGGAACCACCAACAGCCCCTTAGGTAGCAGACCAACGAAGCAAGCACAACACATGCACGCTCCAACTAGCTTGGGAGTAACTAATGTTCTCCTTCGGAACAGAGAGGAGCCTGTGCTGATGAAAACCACCATAACCGGGGGACACAGATCACAGGCTAGTCTAATCTGGAATCTGTATCTTTGTTTCCAAATACCCAAAAATCAAGGAGGAGTTGTATTGCAGATCAGTTGCTCTGCTTCACAGCTGCTGAAAAATACCAAGCCGCTACCACTGCAGTCACTTCACTCAGCTGTAGTTGGTGATTTCAACTAAATTGTCCCAGGGAAAAAAAAAATCAGTTCTACAGGTCCCCATAGAGGGATTTTCTAGACCTCTGGCCCTGGCTGCTGAGAGTATATGGCTCACAAGACCTGTACCTCGAATAAACTCCTGAACTTGGAAAAGTGCCCGAGATATCCCAAAGTTGAAAGCCGCATGGAAATAAGTATTGTTTTACAGCAGGTACTGTCTAAACACAATGTGCCTGAAAAATTAGTAGCTTGTTGGAGAGTCCCTGGGCAGCAGCAATTGCAGTGCAACCCGTAAGGGCATGGGCTGGGATTTCAGAAGCTCCAGTTTGCAGCTGGAAAACCGTCAGTAGCCATGCAAACGCTATAAAAGGAGAGGAAAATCCTGCCTACCTGGAAAACGGGTTCATCAAAATTTCTCCAAAAAGCCTCAGAAGTGTCAGCAAAAAGTCTCCGCGGAACTGCTTGTATCAAGAAGGCTTCTGCATCCCTGGAGGGGAGGGGTTGCTCCCTGCTTTTGGGTGCCCGGGGTGTGTGTGGTGAGGGGAGCTGAGAGGAGCAGCTGGGAGCAGCTGAGCCTCCTCCAGCCGAGTTCCTCTATTCCCTCTCAGGGAGGAAACTACCCTCTATATTCCTCCGCCTTCTAAACCGTGTCAGGCAGCCCCTCGTTTGCAGTAGCTTCAGATATCCACGGAGAGTCACTGTGGGTCTACCAAGACCCCAGGACGGTCTCCTCCACCAATCTGCTGCTAGGGGTGGGGTGAGGCCGCTTGTGTTTGGAGCTGAAGGAATTTTTTAAAACAAGCTGGAAGAGTCTCATTTTTCCATGATGAGAGTCCCCTTTTCGTGGCTGGCATTGCTGCCCCACATACTTATACCATCAAATAGTGTTCCTCTTTTTTTCCCCTTCCTCCTCCTCTTCCCATCCTAGTAACGTGTCCTGAGTGGAACAAATAAGTCAAGAACATTTCAAAAAAGAGTAACTTGCATCTTACCCTTCGCAAATAGCCAAGACGTACTTAGAGACATCCAAGTCTCCATGTCTGCGTATTGCTTCTTTCTATTCATTCTTTTTTTTTTTTTTTTTTTTTAATAATTTCACAAGTAATTTTTTAGCTCTACTAAATGAAAGATGGGGGAAATATCCAACGAAAACAGGGAGAACAGTAAGGACTTCAAGGAACGTGGCCATTATCCTCTGAACCATGACTTCAAACTTTGAGCAACGTGAACCCACAATGGGGAAACCAAAGCTAACTCTCATTTAACTCTACTCCCATGTAGTGACAGAAGCGAAAGACTTGTCTCAGGAGGTCTCAGAGTAAGCTGCTAACCCACTAGTCCTCATCCACAGGAACAAGTTGCTCAGGAAACTTGATTGTGTTTGTGAAAAATATCTGAACAGTCAATTGAAAATAATAAACCTGATTCTGTGTAGCTGCTTGTGCTTAAAAAGGTACATTTCTGGAGTATCTTCTGTGTCAGCATCTTCATCAGGAAGACTCAAGCAATGCCTATAGGAACCACAGCCATAAGCGAGAATTGTGCATGCCACTTTCCCTGTTTGTCTCAAAGCACCTTGACACAATCATTGGATTCATTCTGGAATCATTCTGGAACAAAGGGACACTGAAGAATAAACTTACCTGAGAAAAAAAGACATTTCTTACAGATTCCTTGGAACACCAAAGAAGGATTTTGTTGGGCCATCCCATTCCAGGGAGCCTGCTGCAGCTCCAGATTGGAGGGCCAATTTCCTCTTTGAACATCTTTAGTGAAGAGCAGGGTTCCAGCTGCTGTTAACAGTGGTTAACTGAGTAGCACAGGAGGTGTCCAAGCAATGCATTCACCTTGCAGTAATCCAGCACACACTGTGTATCATGCCATTTCTTTTCCTCATTTTGCTGCTGTGTCCAAGCTCTGTTGTGTCTGCAAGTACCAATCAGTGTTGCTTCTTATCCATGAAGTAATCCTAAGACTTAGAGTTAATCCTTCAAATCCTAGAAATATGTCTATTTCTAGGTGTATCTGTCCCTGCAGAAGCTTTCTTCAGCAAGAATGTCAAAAATGTAAAAAGGAGAGCACAGGCACAGACCTCTGTACCTCCCTCTTCTTCCTCACTGACTTGTGGACATTGACTTTTGTGTGTAGTTCCTTGACCAAAGGACCTATTGATTTTTGACTTTCTTTGTACACTTCTTGAACTCTTTAATGTCAAGCCAAAACCTTTTTCTGCAGCTTGACATGATATACTACCTTGTTCCCATGAGTATTCTTGTATATCTTACAAAACCGCCTCGTATCACATCCTTTTCAACAAAAAGGCTAATTTGTGTCTTTCTCACCTACCTACGTGTCCATTTTGATTTATTTTTTATTTTTAGGAATATTATCTTCACACCTATGGCATGGCTGGCCATATCTGGTCAGTACATGTATTAAGATATGGTATTCTAACATACAAGAACAATGAAGGTTTAGTATGTCTTGTTTACACAGAAACTCAGAAAAAGTAACCTCAAAATGGAACACTTTTTTTCTTTCTTTCTTTTTTTTCCTTTTTTTTTTTTTTTTTTTCCTGTATTTGTTGGGCTTTTTATAATCTTCTTTTACAACTAGCTGAATTAAATGCCCAAGCTAGTTCTCTGTCATTGAGTTTTTGTTCTTCTGATTGGCATTAGAATGTAGGAAGCACTAGATGAAAAAGGACATGGAGCATTAACTTTTTGAGACAATATCAACATTGTTTTTCTTTAATCTTCCTTTTTTGAAAGGGAAATCAAGAAGGGCAAAGACTTTTCTTTCTATGCTCAGTGATCCCTTTTTGTACATAGTGCTTGCTTCTGTACGGAGGGCTGTCCAGGTGAAGAATCACTCCCCTTCACTCAGGAGAACCTCATTCACTATCTCTAACTTTTCTGTGGCTTCTAATCCAAGATAGTGTCTCAGTATTTATTATTTGTTTCTCCTTACAGTGGAATTGCAAATCTCATGGAAACATATATATACACATATATATATATATATTTTTTTTTTTCCACAGAATATGCATTGATGTGGATTAGTTGCTCGTCCTCTATATATCTGACATAGATACTATTATTGTTGCTCACAGCGAATGCTGCATACTGAACAGACATTTAGTATTCAAACATATTTAAAATGGAGGGACAGGAAATGTGAGAAGATGAAGACCAGAAAGAGAAGAAAAAACCTGATCGATTTTCTGCTCTCCTCTGTGACTGCATAGAGTTTGAAGCAAGGGAGTCAGTCAGACACAGATGGCTATTTTTTCATTTACATCCCCTTGTATCACCAACCACAGGGCTTGTCGACCCCCATGGCCACACTCCCACACTTGTAGGCTTAAATGTGATACATATGTATAGTTGTTATTTTCTAAACTGCGTAGCTGCTATTTTTTTTTTTTTACATCTGAGTTGTAGCCCCCAGTAAAATGCAGACTTTTGGTTTTAAACCACATAAATCTGAAACAAGTTCATGTGACTGGTGTGGCTCTCTGGAAAAATAGCTACTGTAGTTCCTTCGTGCCCCGACTGTCTGCAACTCCATCTACCCTTCATGTGTTTCTGAGGTTATATATTGGTCTCCAAGAGTCTTGTTTTCTAAATACGTTAAGAAGACCAAAGATGAGTCCAAGATTTTTAAGTTCTTAGTCAAAAAATGAACACTGGTTTTCAAATATTTTTAATTATGCTGTTGATAATCTCAGCATTTTCACTGACTAAAAACCAGACAGTGGAATTTACAGCCCTTTTATAGCTTCCATTCTCTGAAAATTCTTGTTTCGTAAATCAATTTGTACATGTACAGGTAATGTGTTTGTATGCCTTGCCCAAACAGGTAAAACCTTGCTCTTCTGAGGCTTGGGGTTATAATTCTGATGTTTACCTTGCTCTCTTCCTTCACGATCTTAAGTTCTACAGTCTCGTAGACCCTGCAGACAAGGCTGCCTCCAGCCTTCACATCCTCATCCAGTTCTTACGTGTGTTCGAGTAGCAGGTCCAAAAGAGCATCTCCCCTAGTCAGTTCACTGACAACCTCCAACCCCAAATTGCCTTTGAACAATTGAAGAAACCTCTTGTAAGAGTTATGCCCAGCCACATTGCCCTCCCAGCAGATAATGAGGTGGTTAAATTCAGTGTTGAGTACCTGGGCCTGTGTCTGTAAGGATTCCTCCAGCTTCCTAAGGAAAGCTTCATCCTCCTCTTCTTCTTCTGCAGCAGACACCTTTTACAACATCACCCGTGCATTTACAGGCACTGCTGTGCCTGCTTCATGGCCCAGTCAGCAATGACCTAACACACTCATGCATCTGTAAAAAGGGTACAAACCTGAGCAACAGCCCCCACTCTTCTTGCTGGTCTTGAATTGTGGTAAATGAGACATAAAGGACAATCTTTTCAAAGGAAAAGCAAACGTTAATTTGACTCTGTGTTCTATCAGCATTTCCTGGGATTTCAGCCATTAAACCAACTGCTCCAGGATGTTTAGAAAGTCATCATGAACATAAAAGTGCAATCTGAGGCTTTGCATACTTTTTCCTATTTTAATATTCTGGTGTTATCTTTTAAGTCCCCTATGCTATTGCAATTCTTATTTACTTAACACCCAGTTTTTATACACAGCATTTGTGTGCCCATAAATTTTTGTTTACTAGCACATAAAGAAGTACTGTTTGGAGTTCCCAGGAACTTGTTTTAAACAGCTTTGAGGATTTCCCAACCTACAGCATTACTGAAGCCTCGCCAGGTGCAGACCCAGGTCTATGACCACGTATTTTTCCATTAGAGCTCAAGATCCCCATAGGATGATATCCCAGAGACTCTGCATTGTTTGGACAAGGCAGTGCAAAGAGGAGCAGCCAGAATGGGAGGTATTGGTTCCTCCTCTGGTCCTATACTGCACAAGCTCCAGAGGACCTTACAGGAGCCACCCTTAAAGCCACCAGCAGGGCATTGATGTGTTCCAGTTTTTGTTGCCATCTCCAGTATCAGGATGACATTGACGCGGACTGCCAGCAGGACTGCAGGCCTCGTGTCTAGCTGTGCTCAGGCAGCGCGGGCTTCCAGACCACGGCTAATCAACTTCATGAAGTGCTTGTTTATGCTTCACTTGTGCAGAGACCCTTGCTCCAAGTTTTATTTCCTTGCTGCTCAAGATCTCATTTCCTGTGATCAGTTCAAGAAGTCTGTCTCAAATAAACTGCAGCGCTTCTCCAGAACTCCTATGGCAAGTTGTACTCGCTGCACATTTCCTTTGAATTCTTGACCATTTTGAAATGGAGACCATACTTGTAAACTTGTTACTGCTTTACCTTCAGAGTCAGACATCAGGCACATTTTCTACAGTCACCCTTTCTACAGTGTCCTAATGGCTCACCACTTCTATCTCCTAACAACTCTAATGCCCACCCTAACCCTTAACCTCAACCCCCTAACACCAATGTCACTAATAGTCTTGTCTATCTCCCCCAAACAGCCAGGCAGGTTTGCAGCGATAGGTCACAGACACAGGCAAGTACCACCTAGGATGACACCTCCAATTTCACAAGCTGGGCAGTCTTCACAGAGACTCTAGCCATTAGACTGAGCTTCCAACTATG